AATGACTTTGAAAATAAAAAAAGAATAAAGTGTGAAGTCTAATATCTCCCAAAAATAGACCGTGTTGTCAAATTCTCCCAATCAAAAGTTCAAAATATAACATTATGTTCTCACCAACATGCACCTAACCAAACTAAGCTGAATTTTATAATAGACCATATAGAAAAAACCCATTATATTAAAAAAACAGAACACATTAAAATTAATATAAAACCTAATAATTAAAATTAGGGGAAAAGTGTTTTTGCAAAAAAAAAAAAAGAATTGGAGAAATTTGACTTTGCACCACATGTTTTAGGCGATATTAGACTTTGCACCCCATATTCAAAATCATTAATATTTGCACCCCATTAACTCAAAAATGTAAAGCAGCGGGGTGCAAAGTCAAATGATCACATAGTAAAATAGGGTGCAAATATTAATGATTTTGAAAATGGGATGCAAATTCCAATATCAACCAAAACTTGGGATACAAAGTCAAATTCTCCCTTAAAAATTATATTCTAATTTTGAGTTTGCAACTTTGAAAAATTTGTAATGTAGTTTCTGAATAAGTAAATTTTAATTATTAAGATTCAATTATTCATTATCAATAAGGAGGATTTAACTTTAACATTGGTTGATTAAAAATGTTGACTTTACAAATCAATTTGGGACCGAAATAGTATCAATACATGTGTTCTCCTTCCTTCTCAGAAAACTTTACAACTTTGAACATTAGTTGTCCCAAAAACACCATTTTCATTGTTATTTAATTAGTACGGAGTATGACATTTAATTTGGACTTGCATGCTAGCTCTCTAATGAGCAAGATACATATACTACGTGCTATTTAAAAGTAGCCAACAGGCAACAAGTAACTTGGTTAGATTGATGCTTTCTTTTTTTGGTCACTGAACAGATAACTTATATTATTAAATCATTTGCCAAATGGCTACAACTACAAGGTGGAATGTAATCAAACTGAACACTATGATCTGAGAGATTTACACGGGACCTTGCCAAAGCATGTGCCACCGTATTCGCAGACCTTTTACAAAAAGAGACTTGCCAGTTACTCTTTGTTACCAAAATCCTTCTAATATCATCAATAATGAGATCAATGTAAGCGTTGCCTTCTTCTGCCTTCTTTATGCGCTGAAATACACTTAAGGAATCCGTCTCCACTTCAACATTCTGCCAGCCTGCCTCCAAAGCTTTCAGCACCGCCTCTCTAACACCCCACGCTTCCGTCTCCTCAACTGTCCATGTAGCCGCTTTGGAACCACCCCCTGCTCGAACCATCTCGCCAGTTTCATCTCGAGCTACCCAGCCCCAAGCTCGAATTCCGTCAGGAGTATTGATTGCTCCATCAACATTGAGTTTTATCACCCCCTGCACAGGCCGCCGCCACCTCCCTGTTTCACCTAGCTGATGCTGTGATGCCAATACCGCTCCTCCCGTCTCATTCGCTTTCCCCCAAGTGTCTAACATGCTTGTTGCCATGCGAGTGACTTCGCTCGCCCCCATTTCCACTCCATTCCAAACTGCCTCATTTCTTCTCTTCCAAACACACCAAACCACCGCGAGAAACATGCGGCTCTTCTCCACACCCAGTTTTGTAATATGGTCTTTAAACCATTCCTCAAACTCAACCTGCTGCTCCTGTAAAGGGAACCCAGCCTGCGCCCACACCTCTCCCACCTTCTGGCAGTCCCGAAGAGCATGTGCCGTATCCTCCTCCCCTGCTCCACACAACTTGCATCCACCCGCAATCTCAACCCCCCTTCGGCGAATATTACTAACTGTAGGCAGCGTGCCATCAAGCACCTGTCAAGCCAAGTACTTAAATTTTGGAGGGCCTTTAATATTCCACAAAGTACATATTTGACCCTTTTTCATAATTTTAAAGCCTCCAACACTCTAGGGATGTTTAGAACTAATTCTGATTCCGCTTCTTTTTTGAAGTACAAATAGAATCAGAATCAATTTTAAGAAATCAGTATCCCCAATTTCTAAAAAAAAACTGGTTCTAGGAGTAAATTAGAACACCAGAATCATTTCTGCATTTTCCTCAAACACTTCAACTTTTGTTTCTGCTTCCTGAAGAATCAGAATCAGATCCAAACACCCCTTAATTTCACTAAAATATGATAATCGCACTAAATAATCAAAAAGAAAAGAAAAGAACAGTATTTGCTCAAAGCAATTGAGAAGCTAAGGAATAGGATATTTGTTTCTCTTTAGAAGAGCTAGTTGTAACACCATATTTGAACGACTTGTAACTTGCAAGCTAGCTGCTCAAGTAACCATCATGCTAACCTACAAACTATCAAAAACAGTGCATCTTTACATTATTTGTACTGCATATTGAAGTCCAAAGTGTTGCATATTATTTGTACTGCATATTAAAGTTCAAAGTTTTGCATATTGTTTTTATTGCATATTTTTTTTTTGAGAAAAGTTTTTATTGCATATTGAAATTCACAGTGTGCATCTTTACATTATTTGTACTGCATATTGAAGTTCAATGTGTTGCATATTATTGAGTTAGTAAGTTAGTATTTTAAGCATGGTTAGTATGTGATCTCTTATCTATATATATATATATATATATATATATATATATATATATATATATATATATATATATATATATATATATATACAGTTTTGATCACATCCGGAAGGCCGGACACAATTATGTCCGAACCTTTGCCAAAAGTAAAGGTGGGCCAAGCTTTTACATTACATGGTGAGGTTTTATTATTTAATACGGAGTATTTAATACGGAGTACAATAAGGGAGCTGATTTAATTTAAGACAAAAAGAATAATGCTCTGTACTCCACCAGTCCGTAGCCCTCTTTTGTGAGCTTTAGCGCAGCAAAGGAAAAAGGGTGTGCTCATCAATGGAGTTTCTTCCCCATCTTCACTAAATATTGTCATCTTCACACCAAACCAGTTCAAATACTTTGCATCTCTGACCAGACATCGTCATCTGACACGGACGCAGGTACATATCCATGAATACGTATCTCTGTAGTAAAACCTCTTCTCCTACCCTACAAATTTGAATTCGAATAGTTCAGTGACACTTCAGATTCAGTCTATTAAATTGGAACTCTTTATTGTTAAATTTATCTTTCTGCTTAACACTTTTTTTATGAAAATTAGTTAGATTTGTGTATTGTGGTTTAAATAATTTGAAAATCTGGGTTTTAAATAATTAGTTAGGAATTGTATGAGGGTACTGTACTAAGATTTTATAATTATTTGAGTTGTCTTTTAGTTGTATACAAAGTGATTATAGTTGCTAATTGTTATCAACAAACAGAAATATGGAATCTTCTATGCTGACAAGTGGTGGTAGCGAAGAAAACTTAGAGTTTACACCAAATGTAGCTATAGATAAGAAACCTTGTGTTGGAATGAAATTTGATGATCTAGAGATAGCATTTTCATTTTACAACAGTTATGCTAAGTTGGCGGGATTTAGTGTGCGGAAGGAGTCTGTGAAAAAAAACAGTGAGGGGGCTGAAAAATCTAGAGTTTATACTTGCAACAAAGAAGGTTTTGGAAAATCACAAATGTTAGATCCCAAAAATGAGAGATGTAGGGCTATAACGCGTACGGGATGTAAAGCATTGTTAGCGGTCGGGAAAAAAAAGAGTAGTGAATTCTTTGTCATATCTCGATTTGATGAGGTGCATAATCATATTTGTGAAACTCCAAGCAAGGTTCACCGACTTAATTCACATCGTGGAGTCTCAAATGCTAAGAAAAAACTGTTTTTGACGATGCAATCGAACAATATATCTATTCCTCAAGCAATGGGCCTCTTTGCTAGTGAATGTGGAGGTTTTGATGATGTGGGGTTTGTGGAAAAGGATTTGAGGAATCACGTTAGAAATGAGAGGGAGAAAATCAAGGGTCAAGATGCTCAATTTTTTGTTGAAAATTTTATAGAAGAAAAGGGAAAAAATGAAGGATTTTTTTATAAGGTGAAGAAAGATGATGAGAAGAAGATTGAGTTGGCTTTTTGGGCAGACCCGGCATGTAGAAGATCATTTCATTTTTTTGGAGATGTGACAGTTGTAGACTCGACATACAACACTAATTGCTATGGCTTTCCTTTCACCCCTTTTGTTGGTGTAAATCATCACTTCCAAACAGTACTCTTTGGTTGTGCTTTTATGCATAAAGAGACATATGAATCATACTTGTGGGTATTGACGACATTTTTAGAGGCCATGCCAGGACCACCCCCAAAAATGATTATCACCGACCAAGACCCGGCTTTGTCAAAAGCAATAAGAGTTGCACTACCTCACACGTTTCATCGGTTCTGCATTTGGCACATTCTCAACAAAATACCAGAAAAAGTGGGATGCCCAATAAATGGGCTGGATAGTTTTAAAAAAATTTACTATATAATAAAGCATTCCGAGACACCCCAAGAATTTGAAGAAGGGTGGTCAAATGTGATTACAGAATGTGAGTTGGAGGACAACGGTTGGATGAGTTACATGTTTGTAATTCGGGGGCTTTGGGTCCCGACATATGTCAAGAACATATTTGCAGCTGGAATGTCATCGTCTCAGCGGAGTGAATCTACCCATTCGTTCTTGAAAAAATTTGTTTCCAAAGGTTGCGGTTTTAATGAGTTTGTCATTAGATTAGATAGAGCCCTTTCTAGACAAAGGGAGACAGAGAACACATCAGATCATGATGATAAAAATGGAAAACCAAAACTACTCTTTGGAACAACTTCTGAGATTCAAGTTGCGAATTTATACACTAAGGCCATGTTTCTTGAGTTTCAAAATGAACTCCATAAGTGTTTCACATATGGGATTGAGATGCGCGGTTCTGAAGGTGATAATACATTTTATAGTTTATCTTATCGAGGCATGTCACTAGACCATGAGCTTGTGCGATCAAGAAGTGTTACTTTTAATAGTGAAAGCAAAGTTGCAATGTGTTCATGTAGCAAGTTTGAGTTTGAAGGGATCGTATGTGCGCATATACTAAGGATTTTTGATACACTGAGCATAAATGAACTTCCAGAGTATTATATTTTAGATAGGTGGAAGAAAGGATCACGTAGGGGAATAGTGAAAGATGCATATGATATTGAGATTCTTGAAGATCGTAGGAGGGCTTTATCCGGAGGAAATGGGAAAGCACTTGATGCTTTTCTTAGCGGATATTATGATTTGTCGGCTGAGTCATTAGAGGACCAGGAAGTTGGCCTCCTTCTTCTCGAGGAGTGGCGATTGAAATTTAAAGAGCACCTTTCAAAAAACACATCCAAAGAATGTGGCAAAAGGATCCGTGACGAGGCCACAGAACCATTAGACTTTGTTGAACCTGATCATGCAAGACACAAAGGTTGTGGTAAACGATTGAAATCAGCGATGGAAAAGGCGACATCACTCAATAGAACATGCCGTGTTTGTCAAGGGCACGGTCATGACAAACGCAATTGTCCCAAGTTGGAAAATGGGTATGTTTTCACAACATTTTCCTTATATTGTCTATGTTTTATGTTTGTTAATTAAATCAACACTATGTTGTTTTCTTTTGCAGAAAATCTAAGAATGCTCAAGTTAACAAGCCACAAAGTTCATAATGTAATGCCTCTGAGTTGGAGCTTATCCCATATTTTTGTTTAATTTTTGCAGGAAGTGTATCTTTTGATTGACTTTGTAAATATTGAGGGATTAAGTCAAGTCTTTGCTGCACTTTTGTTTGAAAAGATACTGTAAATGTAAAACTCCACTGTTGTGGGTTAGTGTAGGAGTGCATTGCACTTTAACGATATTTGGGATTAGTCATGTTTTTGCTATACTTTTGTTTGAAAAGGTAATGGAAATATATAACCCCACTGTTGTAGGAGTGCATTGCAGTATAACCATATTTTTTAACATCTGCATATTCGTACGTTATTCCTTACAGATAATACCAATTAATTGGTTTAACTAATTAGCATTTAATCAAGCTTTTTGCTTCATTGCATCAAGATACTAGTTTAAATTATAAGAAAATTTCTGGTTAATATTAATTTAGTTTTCTAAAATTACAGTGATATAGTAGTGAAATAAATTACAGTGACATTTTGTTTTCTAAAATTATTCTTGTTAGTCACATTTTTGTCTATATGTAAAAGTAGTACGTAGTAATTTTTTTGGAAATAAGATTAAGAGCCCGTTTGCTAATACTCAAGTTAGCCGAGTCGGTTGATTTTGCTAAAATTAATGAAGTTTTACCTAAAGTGACTGGATTGACTGATTTTTCTGATTTTCTCTTGAAAGGATTAATTCTGCTGATTTATGAAAATAATATATTTAAAATATTTCTATTTAATAAAATAAAGATTTTTTAATGAAAAATAGCTACAATGATCATCTATAGTAAGTTTGGTCAATACAGTTAAAAGTTATTATTACTACACAATTTAGCGCGTGGAATTAAAAGTTACGTGTTTGGTTAAAAAGTTTGCTGATAAGTCGAAATACAAGATCCCCAAACAGGCTCTAAACTTAGAGGCTGTTTGGCAACACCATTTTTTGGCTTATCAACCAACTTTTTCACCAAACACGTAATTTTTATTTTCGCGCGCTGAATTGTGTAATAATAAGCAGAAAAAGTGAGGTTGAAGTTACTTCTCTAGCTGTATAGGCTGAATTTATTGTAGATGACCATTTTAGCTATTTTTACACATTTTTTTCTTTATTTTATTAATAAGATATATTTTAAAAATACTTTTCTCTTAAATCAGCAAAATCAGCCAATGCAGCCACTTCAGCCAGAAGTTCATAAATTTCAGCCGAATCAGCCAAATCAGTTGATTTTCATGCTACCAAACGGTTCTTAGTCATATTTTAGGAAAAACTTTTAAAATTGATTTTTTTCATAATTAAGAACATTCAATCAACATTTCATCAAATTAAACAAATTTAATGTTGCCAAATGTGCTCCTAAATTGATTGATATTTTTTCATTTCATGACAACATGAATACCATAATGCATTCTAAAAAAATATTAATACGAATTTCAACATAAAATAAAATGTATGCAACTTGTTGTGGAGAATTGGAGATATGTGCTGCGTTGGGCTGGAGATAGTATGGAGTAGTTGTCTGTATTTTTTTATTATATACTCCGTATTGACCAAGTCCACACTCCTCATTTTAACAAATACGAATCCGGAGTAAATCAGAAGAGAGATACGGAGACTAAAGAGCATTATTTGTTTGTTTTTAAATAAACTACACTTATTAAAATAACAATACCCACTGCTCAATGTAAAAGTTTGGCCCACCTTTATTTTTGGTAGAAGTTCGGACGAAATTCTGTCCGGCCTTCCGGAGGAGATCAAGTCTCTATATATATATATATATATATATATATATATATATATATATATATATATATATATATATATATATATATATATATATATATATATATGATCCGTTTCAGCCTTTCAGGCCATTAGACTCAGGTTTGTTTGTCTTCAGGTGTTGATGGTGTTTGCTCTTTGTTCTAAAGTATGGAGGCTGACTCTCATTTTGGCTGAAGGAACATTATAATAGTTTTTGGCTTTTAAATTAGGAGCTTTTTTAACCTTTCTTTGAGTTGTAATTGCTATGATACAATTGTATCAATATGGATTATGGTTTTTTGAATTTATTGTTATTCGAAGTCCGCTTGTGATCATCGATTGTAATCTTGATAGCAGGTGCAATCGTTGTAAATAAATGTTGCAATCATCTTGATAGCAGGTGCAATCGTTGTAAATAAATATAATGTTGCAATCAAGAACACTTCAAAATGACTTGCGAGAGATGCATCCAGTGCCTAATTGAACTCAAAATTGCATCAATTTGTATTAAATTTGTGGGTTTTAAATAATTAAATAATAATAATAATAATAATAATAATAATAATAAAACATTGAATTTTGTTGCAAAATGTTGCTCCTAAACGTTGCAATATCCAAGTGTTGCATAAAATGTGTTGCTTTAGTTTTTTTGGAGAATGATGTTGCCCTAGCCAAAGTTTGTTGCTATTGGTACCTATAGTAACGGCCAAAATTTCAACACTTTAAAAATTGTAAAAGTGTTGCCATAAGTTACTAAGGCAACACATTAGGGTGTAATGCAATATTTTTAAGTGTTGCCTTAAGCCATTTATAGTGTAGTGACTTTCTGGAACTAACAAATCAGAATGAACATGGATTGTACATTTGCACATGTGTACATTATCTATACTAGTAGTCTAGTAGATTGAAATAAAAGTACTCCCTCCGTCCCAAAATTATCTTCATAGTTACTATTCACATGGTCAACTCAAATTACTCTTAATCTTTTACTTTATATATCAAATTTTTATCAAACTTAAATTTTCTTGATCAGGCTTTGTAGCGGTTTTAATGTAGTTTCTGAATATGTAAATTTTATTTACTAAAAATAATCCGAGTGTGAACAGGGATCGAGTTGCTTTATCGTCAGTCAAGCATCGTAAACCGAACTATGAAGATAAATATGGGACGGAGGTAGTAATAATACTACGTAAATATGCTTGGAAGCTAACGAGTAATAAAGAAAGAGTAGTAGTAAATTTACATCTTAACTACTTCATGTATATTTGTATCATATAGCTTCGAAAACAACCAAACTGCCATCTTGTTTTTCTTCTTAGCAATATACTCACACAGCTTAAAAAAATAAGAAAAGAAAATGAGAAGAGACTGGAGTCTTGAAGGTGAGGGTGTGAGAAGGTTCTAGTGAGAACACTCTTAAAATGAGAACTCATGAGAACCCCTAACAAACGGTGGTATTTTTGGCTGAATTTTTTTGTAGATGTTCCTCATCAAGTCTAGTTCATCCATACCAAATTTGAGCAAACAATTCAACCGGGAAGGTTGTCAAATGATTTTTGAAAGAAAACTGCGTTTTATATATATATTCCGGACCAGTTTTCTTTCAAAAATAATTTGACGACCTTCCCGATTGATTTTTTTGCTCAAATTTGGTATGGATGTACTAGACTTGATGAGGAACATCTACAAAAATATTCAGCCAAAAATACCACCGTTTGTTAGGGGTTCTCACGAGTTCTCATTTTAAGAGGGGTTCTCACTAGAACCCTCCCCTATATATATATATATATATATATATATATATATATATATATATATATATATATATATATATATATATATACAAACATAAATAATTATAAACAATGAACAGAGTGAATTAAAGGATTACAAAGTACTCCCTCCGTTCTTTAATATTAGTCCTTTCCTTTTTGGGATGTTTTTTTATCTATCCTCCTTTCCATTTAAGGAAAATTTTTACTTTAAATATACTTTTATACCCCATGCACTTTTATTACCATTACCCCTTTCTCTTTCCTACTTTTTCATTTACCCACTACTCATTACACCTTTTACATTACCTCTACTACTTACCTCTTAAAACCCGTGTCAAAGCCTAAAGGGACTAATAAAAAAGAACGGAGGGAGTATACGAAGAGTACAAATACTTGAATAGCTGTAATCTAATTATTGTTGGTATATTCAAAAGTCAATGTATGTGTCATTTCCATAGCCTGCAAAAGAAACATATGCATGTGACATTTGTCTTATTAAGTTAAATGATAAACTCATATAGATAAAATTATTCAAAACGTCGCGCACTACCTCGTCCTTGTAGCGCCTTCCAATGGAAATAGGAACCTTACACGTTTGAGTTACTTTAACCTGTGACCCCTTACTCACCCACCCCAAGGCATAAGGCTCCTTGTGTGGTTCTGTTTCCAGTTTCAAATACTCCACTAGTTTCTGGGAGATTCTCAGTACTTCCGTTATCAACTATAAGGTTACACAATTTATTCTTAATAGCGCAATGAGCACGTAACAATTTCTTCCACTGCCCCTCCTCTTTGGATGAGAGCAAAATATGTTGGACCACAATACTCACTCTCTCCTCGACTTCCTCTTCAGCAAACTCGACCCCTTCATACTCGTCAGTTTCCCCTTCCTTTTCATACTCAGCAAGGGCGACAGTTCTCCTGGAAGGACAGACATTGGACTTATGTTCGTAACCGTGACAACGATAACATTTATCTCCAATGGGCCTGGTATATGGGTTAGGTGCTTTTTGATTATGAGTTTTGTTGGGTACATGATTAGAACTGCTCGCTGAATTGCTTCCTTTAGTTAAAGGTTGTGTTTCTCTTGGCACCACGTTCTTTTCCCCTTCATCAGTCACTGTCTCATGATTGTTTGGTGGTATAAATTTGTGAAAAGATGGAATGTTTTTAGGAGACTTCTCCATCAGTTCTGCCTTCAAGGCCGGCGTAGAGGCTTCTGTGATATATACTCCAAACGGCCTGCAAACCCATTTTCTGCTGTATCGAGCTCTTTAACCCGCTGATGTAACGAGCCACCCTCTGCCCCTCAGTCTCGCCTAGTTCGTTGCGTTCGTACAGACGCACAAACTCAGTTTTATATTCAGATACACTCCTCCTTCCCTGAGCGCACTCAATATACATCTTATACAAAATCTGTTCATAATCTGCCGGTAATTATGATACTCCTATTCAAGGAATAAAAATCATGATACTCCTATTTTGGAATTTCAAAACTTTTTTACTCCTATTAAGAGAATTCTCTCTTATAATAAGTATGTTTTTACGTTGGTTGTTTTTAGTCCCAGATCATATCAGACCAGATCAGACTTAAATAAATCAATCTAGACCAAACTTTCATAGTTATTATGAAATACAAAGAGATCATATATTTATCTAGTTCAGACAAACCTATACCATACTTAAACGGATCAGAACGGACGAGCAAATATATATCTGTCCAATTAAAATGGTGGACAAGCTGGATTGGTAAATACTAACAGCGTGTTTGGTGACCCTTGTTTGGGACTTACCAACCTCAACAATCAATTTTTAATTTTGTGTGCTGAATTGATTGAAGACTTGAAGTTACTATAGAGGTCGATTTTAGTTATTTTAGTTATTTTTTCATACTACCTCAGTACCTCTGTCCCAATTTACTTAGCCATCTTTGACTTTACGAGTCAAAGATAGTAAACTTTGACCAATTGTTTCAACTAATATATTTATACAATATTTAATAATTTTATACTTTTATGATTATATTTTTAACAAAGAGCATTTTCATACCATTTTCATATTATCAATACTTTCTCTATTTAAACATATAATCGGTCAAAGTTAGACATCATTGATTTGAAAAATCAAGTTTGACTAAGTAAAATGGGACGGAGGGAGTATAATTTTTTATTTAACTTATGTGCTCATTTGAAATATATTTCAGAATTGAAACTTATTTACAAAAATATGAGTAGTTGTTACTATGGTATAATCTCATAATCACTTAACTTTAAAAACTAAACAAAAATTGTTACTATTAAGTCACTACAGTACATATATAATCACTTGTTACATTCTTGTAGACTGCATTTATTATAGTCATATACATTATTTTAAAAATCGGCTTAGGCGGACCGATTGATCGGTCTAGGCGGCCTAGGCGGCCCTAATTGTAGAGGCCTAGTCGGTCAAAAAATCGGCCTAGTAAGCCGCCTAGGCGCTACGCGCCCCTCAACCGCCGAACTAGCACCTAACAAGTTTTAGAACAATGGTCATATATATGTAATTATTTCTTAGTTTATTAATAAAAATATCTTAAGTACTCCCTCCGTCCCATAAAATAGTTTCCGCATTGACTTGGATCGGAGTTTAAGAAAGTGAGAATAAAGTGAAAATGTATGGTTGTGGTTGTACAAGAAAAAAAAGTAAATGAATGTGAGCCACACAAGATTATCCAAAAGGGAAAATGATTTAATTTCTTGGAAATAGAATTAATTTCTGGGAAATAGATTAAGTCAATTCAATTAATTTAGTGTTCAGACGAGTTTTAAATAGAATAAGGACTAAAATGACAAATCTATTAATATAGAGACCAAAATGATACGGCGATGATAGTTTAAGGACCATTTGTACATTTTTTTCTTCCCAAAAGTATATTTGTTAACTAAAGTCAAATTAAATTTTAAAAAATTAAAATAATAAATATAAAATTTATGACTTTTAGATCTTAGATGGGCAGTTTTCAATCATTGAACCCCTATATCGACAAACTAGTGTTTTACCCAGCGTTGCCCCGGGCGAAGGTTGTGAATGTTTGAATACTTTATAAAATATACGGAGTATATTTTATAAAATATATAAATAATTAATCATTTTACTTCAAATAGGTTTTTGTTGATTGTGAATAGTAATTTAGCTAAACACAATATATTAAAAAGAGACATTGTAATGCAACACCGCACATACCAAACAGGCAAACATCGCATTGTTAGGTTTAAACCGGGAAACTTCTTTATAAACGACATTCACCGTCTTAGTGAACAAATTTGTTTCTTTTGAACATATGAATATCTTAAGATATTTTTGCACATTATTACTCTTGATATTGCAATGTACAATGTGTCATTAATGGAAGCTCTCTTTCAAGGTATAAATCATATTTTATGTGATAACATTTAGCCTTGACCTTTTTTGGCAAAATTTAATCTTGACTTTTATTGATTGTCATTGCAAAGTTTACCATCACAAAAAATGATTTATTCGAAAATTGAGTAATGTCATATGGTGATTATGAATTTTTTAATATATAAACTTTATCTTTCATAACTTTTCAAATTATGACTTGTCATACCTGTTTTTCGAATTTGATTATGACCAATTACGTTCTATTGAATAAAATTTATGCGTGATTAATATTTCTCAATAACGTTATCGGAGGCTCCGATTTTCAAATGAAGGACATGGTTGGGCAATCCAACCATATTTAGGAGAATCACATAATGTGTATGTACTCACAATTTACTTACTCCCTCTGTTCTTAAAAGATTTGTCAAATTGACTTTTCTTGGTCAATAACAATTAACTTTGGCTAACGATATTTCTTAATACAAAATTATTTAGAATATGAAAATTATATCAAAATATCCTTTATTCGAAATATTTTCATAAAAGTATAAAATTTATAAATTATATACTCCGTACAATATAATAATTAAAATCGTTGTTTCAAGTTTGCCATCATTGACAAAAAATCAATATATATATATATATAAAAGAGGAACTTTTCAAGAGCATACAAAGCGCCACATAATCCTGCCACGTCATTATATAAAAGATTTTATTGGATTCCTATTAAAATTAATATAGAAAAAATATATATACGTTCATAAATGTAAAATGCTTTTGATAGATTCCTTTTACGTATAAGAGATTCCTCTTATACGTATTACATTCCTATTAGCTCATTAAATTTTAAAATAATCAATATTTTTGTACCTTTTATTTATATTAGATTCTATTTTTGATTGCATATTAATATGAAAAATAAAAGACCGTAGAAATCCACCTTATTTATTTGAGATTTGAGAATATTACCCGGAATAGGAGCAAAAAAGTGAAAATTTAAAAATATGCCTGTCATGTTTTTATTCCTAAAATGGGACTTATTACTACGTACTCCGGATTATGTTTTGACAGTACCAGACTTCAAACATGATAGCATTTTTCAAACTGAGTAATAATTACTCCTATTTTGGGAATAAAAACATGATAGCCCTATTTTGGAATTTGGGAACTTTTTTAGTCCTATTTCGGAAACTTTCCCTATTTAATTTGGTAACTTTTCAAAATCTTTTACGTATTTGAGAAATATTAACTTTAGTAATTGGAACCACAACAATTAATAATCAAATTTTAAGTATTGGATCACACAGTAACAATCATGTAATTATTTTTATATACTTTTTATTTTTTACTACGTACTACTCTGTACATTCTATCGAAGAGATGAAGTATCCTTTTTTTTGCCCACTTTATAGATAAATCAGCAAAATTGCAATTAATTTTGTCTTCAAATTTATGTGATTAAAATATCCAGTCCCATTTTCTAAAATATAATATAATATTTTTCTAAACTCAATGTTGAGATAATGATAAAAATGTGTTAATACTTTGTATTTTTCTGCATCTTCATACAATTCTTTTTTATTTATTAATATAGTGATGAAAACTATGACCATCATATTGTTGAAATTAAAAATGAAATTAATACTATTAGATTATCAAATATATATATAATCTCTTAAAAATAATACTTGTGATCAGGTAACTTACCTTATTTGATAAGGATGAAAATTAGTATCTCCCTCACACACGTGTATGTATGTATATCTATCTGTATATATATTTTCACAAGTAAATATGTTTAGGCTATATAGCCAAAAAAGAAAATATGATTGGTTGTTTCTTTATTTTTACAACTAGAGTTTAAATATGCTTTCATTATATTCCTAATCCAAATTTGAAATCTTTATAAGTTTAAAAATTCCTAATTTTTATTTAACAGAGTGTTTTTATTAGATTGATTTAAGTTCCACACTAAATCAGATCATATCAAAGTTTAATAATTATAATAATAATAATAAGTCACATAAAATGTAAAACAGACATCTACCAAACCATATTAATTCAAACCAAATCAAACCTAGACTTTTAATTTAATTAAAGATGTTCTTATTAATGAGTAAAATGTAAGATCTCACTATTTTTGAATTTTGACTCCACTTTTTTCAAAGATACGGAGTGCATATACCAACATTTGTGTATAGTACTGATAAAATTTTATATGCACAGTGGGTGTATACATGTATTGGGGTCACATTAAAAAAACACGGGATTGGTACGTAATAAAGTAAAACTTGATTGGTACATAACTTGAGGAGTATTAGAAAAAAACTTGAGATGCATAATAAAGTAATTTAGAGGATGAGCGATTATGAATTCTTTAAAATCGGGTTCATAACAATTATATTTACTTGTTGGCCAAAAACACCAATTATATTACTTGAGATGCTTATGTAGAAGATCATATTAAATATTTTTCATATAATTTTTTTTTGTTTTACAAATCGAATATTTTACAAATTTTTGTTATGATTGAAAAGATTTCACCTATTCAGCCTATTCAACCAGAATTTAATCAATTTCAACAAAATAAGCTAATTTAGTATTGTCAAACGGACTCTATATTAGAGTGAGTTTAATGTACTTTTGCATCACATTATATATGACCTTGAAAAAAATCAAATTTAAAACTAGCTAAATTATACACTTCCCGTGCATCGCACGGGCTTGAGAACTAGTAATCAATATAACGAACCTTTTCAGCGGAGGTAGTATTATATTATACTACTTTATAAGCGAAGTACTATTTGAATGTTTTAACTTGAAAGGCTCAATTCGTATTTTTAAGGCAGTTTTATTAGTAAATAAAACTTATAATTTTTTAAACAATTGAGAGATTTATATCAATTACTTTTTCATTGTTATGTACGTAGTAATGTAGTATTATGTTTAAGATACACAGCCATTTTCATCACATATTTTTCAACAGAAACTATTGTTTTAATTGTGTATCCTATAAGGAAAACTAATCATTATACTCGAATTTGATAAAACATTATAGAGTGGAATGAAATCTAATATTATAAAACATTCCAATTACACGTGTGCTCTCTAAATGGAATGATTATATTATTTGTAGTTTATGTGGAAATTGGTGCTCCATAATAGAGTAAAATTCTTGTGAGGATATTGTGATCGGAATCATCGTCCGGCCGCCAGGATTTGAGATGGTCTCCAGTGGTTTTTTTTCTTGATGAAATTTTGTAAGCATATTCTATATGGACTTTAGAATATTATATTCGCAAACTTTCAGCTTAAAATTCGATCGGAAAGTCAATTAAAAAATATTGAAATAAACTATGCCAAAATATTTATATATAAAATGCAGTATTTTTCAATAATTTATGTAATAAGCATAAAAAGTAAGGCTGAAGTTACTTTTCTTGTTGTATTGGCTGAAATTACTGTAGACGATCATTTTAGCTATTTTACATATATTTTTTTTCTATATTTTATTAATTTAATATATTTTAAAAATTATTTTTTCTTAAATCAGCAGAATTAGCAAATGCACCCACTTCAGTTAGAACTTCATAAATTTCAGCAAAAACCATTAAATCAGCCGATTTTCGTGCTAACAAACGGGCTTTAAGACGTAATTGCAATTAATATAATGAATATTCAATATTTGGACTCAATAGTATCAATTGAGTAAATACTACTCCTTTGCAAAGTTATTAATTGTAATTAATAACTATTCACTAATTGGACTCAATAACAATTAAATCAAAATTCAATTTTAATTAGAAGGTTGTGCATTACTACATTATTTTTAAGTAGAATTAAGTAGAAAGTAAGACCAAAATATAAGTGCTTCATCTTATATGTGCCCTTGTTCCTTCCGCTTCCTCCCCTCCTTCACACCTAACCTATAATTTTTTTCTTTATCCCTTTATCCCTTCAAAATATGTGTAGAAAATAGCAATATATAAAGATCTTTTATATATTTAATAAAAATGTATTTCATTGAAAGACGTAGTGGGTATAAGCTAAGTATTGGTTATTTTCAATGCAATTGTTACTCATTTTATATTTAATTTAACACAGTTGTTACATTTATGTAATTATTACAGTTTTTCTATGCACTTGTGGAAGATGAAGAGCAAAAATGACATACTACTTCTGTCCCAAATTGATTTGTGAATTTGACTTTTCTTGGTCAATCAATTTCATTTCATTCGCTTAATTAGGATGTCAATTTTTAATTATATTCTAATTTGAATTTTGCAACTTTAAAATGATTTTAATGTAGTTTCTAATATGTAAATTTTAATTATTATAAATTGAGTTAATTATCGATTGAGAGTATTGACTTTTATTTTTGGTTGACAAAAAAATATTGACTTTACAAAACAATTTGGGACGGATGAAGTATTATTCCTAGCCATGTATCATCTGTACCTCTAAATTGATATTCATGTATTCTCAAATATGAAAGGTTTTTGTTTCGGGAGCATACAGATGTAATATAATTATTTCATAATTATATTATTTCCTTAGATTTTCGGCGGCTATGCACATCTTTGGTAATAGCTTGATTCTAGGAAAATATCTTGTGTAATTAGTTTTCCTTTTTACAATTGTTATTGTCCTATGGGCACATCTTGTATATAAGGAATTGTAGAATAGATAATAAATATGAGACGGTATCATTATAAGGATGTTTTCTTTTGGACTGAAATTTGCTGGTCTGGTCTGGTCTGGTCTGATCTGGTCTGGTCTGGTCTGGTAGACGTTTGGTCTCTATGTATTTTATAACTATGGAAGTCTGGTCTGATTTGATCTGATCTGGTCTGGGACTGAAAACAGTCCAAAAGAAAACATCCTAATATATTTAACTTATTCCCTATTTTTCTATTTTAACACTTTAATATCTCATTAATTTTGGAATGCATATAGAATAACACAATTTGCAAATATGACCTGAATTAATTGGACTTAATAGTAATATGTAAATTCATAATTTTACTTATTAGCAAATACTTGAAATTTTACTTATCAATTACTTTTATTAAAAAAAAAACACTTTAATATCTCATATCTTATTTTACTTGATATTACTTTATTAATTTAATATATCAACCACACAAATTCATTTTTCTTAATAATTGTGTCACTTTTTCATGTGCCAACACGGAGGTAATATTATTATTACGGAGGATTGTTTAAACCTACATCTAAAATACTTGCTTCCAAGGTGGAAGTAATACGGAGTATTATTAAGGAGTATTTTTTTTTTTTTGCTAAATTAATTGTGTTTTGAAAGAATTTAATGAGAGAGCAATTAATTAGGTCCTCCGTATTGACAGCCACGTAGACTTATGGTATTCAGAATCTCCCATAGGAGATATCCAAAAGATTGGGCCCAAAATGCCTCAGCAGCCGTACCTTTGTTAGAAAACCCTAACCAGTGTCTAGGCTCTCCAAATCTTACCTTTCTTCATGGAGTTCGAGTACGATGAACAAGTAAACCTCACTACCCTATGTTCATTTCGTTTCGAACCGTCTTTCAAAGTCCTTGAAAGTATCTATGTTCACAACCGAGACTACGTTTCAACATTTAAATGTAAGTTGGAGACATCATTTGGATTCATGGAGGCAACTGTGCAAGTCTGCCGGTTGCCACACGCAGAAGACTTGAGAGCAGCTTTCAACAGAGCTCAAACCATCTTGATAAAATTGTAAAGTATTCTAAAATTATAAAAATGCTGAAAATGAGAAAACCCTTTTCTAAAGGTGAGATGCACGTAAAGTGTATTTGTTTTTGTGTTATTGAACATACGGATTACACACATATATATAGTACAAGCAAATGATATAGGAAATGGGATGGAAGTGGTGCATGGGCCATATGTATGACATGCAACCACGTAGGTTGGTCTTATCAATATGAAACATTACATATTCAACAATGTAAAATACAAGAGCTAATAATTTAGCTAATAATATCTCAATACTCCCCCTCAAGGTGGAGTGTGAAGATTACGAACACCCAACTTGCTTCGGAGAAACTGAAAACGATCGGTGCCAAGTGCTTTGGTGAAAATGTCGGCCACTTGATTGGTTGTAGAGATACAAATCGGCTGAATCTCTTTACTAGCAACTCTCTCTCTCACAAAATAACAATCCATTTCTACGTGCTTTGTTCGTTCATGGAAAACTGGATTTAGTGCAATGTGACGTGCTGCTTGATTGTCACAATAAAGAGGTGTGGAACCTATTTGATCAACTGTAAGATCCTGGAGTTCCCAACGTAACCATAATATTTCACTAACTGTTACAGCCATGGCACGATATTCGGCTTCAGCAGAAGAGCGTGAGACAACTGATTGCTTCTTTGTTCTCCAAGAGATAGGCGAATTTCCAAGCGAAATGAAATATCCAGTACTAGAGCGACGAGTGAAGGAGCAGCCAGCCCAGTCTGCATCACAATATCCTTTTAAGTTAAAATCGTTATCAGATGATAAAAATATTCCTTGACCAGGTGTCTGTTTCAGATAACGTAATACACGGATGGCGGCGTCGAGGTGACTCTGTCGCGAATGACTAAGAAATTGGCTGAGCTGACTAACAGGATAAACAATATCTGGACGAGTTACGGTGAGGTATAATAGGCGCCCAATTAATCTGCGATAGGAAGATGCGTCTACCAGTTGGCTATCATCGTCCGGACGAAGTTTTAGGTTTTGTTCCATAGGAAACAAACTGGGACGGCCCGCCAGGAGGCCGCTTTCTTCCAATATATCAAGAGTATACTTTCGCTGGCTTAAGACAAAACCCTCTGGAGAACGAGCGACTTCAATGCCAAGGAAGTATTTTAATTTGCCCAAGTCCTTGGTGCTAAACTTGTTGTTTAGATAATCCTTAATGGTAGAAATGTGTGAACCATCATTTCCGGCCAGGATCACATCATCAACGTAGATGAGGGCAAATGTTGTGACGTGTCCTTGTCGAAAAATGAATAAGGAGTGATCCGCTCGTGATTGGCGAAAACCTATCCCATTAAGAGCTTGAGTGAATTTGTGATACCAATTGCGAGAAGCCTGACGTAATCCATATAAGGATTTTTGTAATTTGCAAACACGAGTATCACCCTTCTTCATGAATCCCTGTGGAATGCGCATATATACGTTCTCCGAGAGATCACCGTGGAGAAAAGCATTATTCACATCCAGTTGGTGTACGATCCAATTACACTTAACTGCAACAGCTAGCATGCATCACACCGTGACAAGCTTGGCAACTGGTGCAAAAGTCTCGTGAAAATCAACTCCCTCAACTTGAGTGAAACCCCGGGCTACCAATCTAGCCTTGTAGCGTTCTACTTCGCCATTGGGTTTATATTTGATTTTGTAAACCCATTTGGAATCCACGATTCTTTTCCCGGGCGGTAAATGGACCAAAGTCCAAGTGTTATTCTCTTCTAAGGCATTAATCTCCTTTTGCATAGCCTCCCTCCATAAAGGATCCTGTACGGCTTGTGAAAAATATTTGGGCTCATCACGTGAGGTGATGGCCGCTAAATATGCTTTATGAGTGAGTGTAAACTTATCATAATTAATGAAATGAGAAATAGGGTATACCGTTGAGTTGGCTGAATTAGCGGTGGTTGACCGTGAGTGATCGAGTGAAGGGGGTAAGTCAGTCTCGTAGTCCTCCAGATGTTTGGGATATTTCCGAGTTCTTTCTCCTCGTTTTCGTGCGTCCGGCAGTCCAATGTATTCGGTCACTGTAGATGGTTGGCGGAGCCTATTTTCGTCCATGCATGGCTGTGAATTTGAGATGGGGTCATATAATTTTGGAGGATTTAGATCTGCAGACACGTTAGGTAGATCTGAACGGGAAATGGGAATGCCGTCCAAATCATTTCTGTCTGCATTAGTCAACTGCCTAGTGGGGTCTCCTTGTTCAAGAGAATTTTGTGTGGTGCCTATTTCATTCGCATGCAGTAACCCAGGAGATAGGTAATTGCTTGAATTATCCATGCAATCAATCCAAGTGGGTGGCTGTCCAGTGGGGTCATTTGGTGCTGCACCTGTTTGTTTTTCAATGACCCTTCCAGGAAGTGTTGGTATATTATTATCACATGCATCCAAAAGTAGTGTGCTGCCATCACCGACACACCTTTTTGGAATCACGGTCACTCCCTCTTTTTGAATAAACATATGCCCTTCATCGTTTGAGCTGGGATGAAAAAAATGACTATTTTCTTGTAACAAAAAATCATCATTGTGCTGTTTATTCTGGACGACAGTAGATCCCTGTTTTAATACTTCTTGATATACTTGATCAACAAGATTCCCAAAATCAAGTTCTTGGTTTTTGATCATTTTAAACGGAAAAACTTCTTCAAAAAATGTCACATCCCGAGAGCTGTACGCGGAGTGTTTTTCTAAGTCAAAAACTCGATAAGCCTTTTGACCGTATGGATACCCAATAAATATACAAGGACTCCCCCTTTCACCGAATTTATCCTTTCGTTTATTATCATGGGCATATACCAAACATCCAAACACCCGCAAATGATCATAGCCAGGAGTTTTTCCAAATAACATTTCAAAAGGGCTTTTGTTAAAAATAACTGGTGAAGGTAACCTATTTATAATGTAAACTGCTGTCAATATGCACTCTCCCCAAAAATCAATAGGCAAACCAGATTGGAAACGCAGTGCCCTCGCAATTTCCAATATGTGTCTATGCTTACGCTCTACAACTCCATTTTGTTGTGGTGTGTCTGTGCAAGATGTTTCTAATAGTATTCCAGTGCGGGCATAATAACCAAATAAATGGTTGGTTTGGAATTCTACACCATTATCAGCCCGTATTCGTTTGACCTTTTTCTCAAATTGGGTATCAACCATGTTGCAAAATTGAATTAAAAATTGAGCAACTTCAGACTTATTTTTCATTAAATAAACCCACACACCTCTAGTAAAGTCGTCAACAATAGATAGAAAATACCGTGCTCCGGAAATTGAGTCACACCTGTAGCCTCCCCAAATGTCACAGTGTATTAACTCGAAACTGCAAGTTGTCTTGATTTTGCTTGTAGGAAAAGAAAGTCTAGTCTGCTTAGCTCGCACACAGGGGTCACAAAAATTACCACTTCGTTGAAAACCTTTCAGAGAACTAATGTGTTGTAATTTTCCATCAGATGCATGTCCCAAACGTTGATGCCATAAATCGGAGGTAATAGAGACTGACATTGCCACCCTTTCACTTCTCAAAGGCTCCAAGTAATAGAGCCCATCACGAGATTTACCCACGCCAATCAGCTTTCTCGAGGGTACATCCTGAAAAATACAGAAATCTGGAAAAAATGTCAAGGTACAATTTAGATCGCTTGTTAAGCGACTGACTGAAAGTAAGTTGCATTGAAATTTTGGAATGTATAAAACACGTTCAAGACGGATCCCATTGGGTAAATATAAGCTTCCAACAGCATGAACTGGAATCGATTCGCCGTTAGGAATTTTGACTGATGAGTCCGTCGTGTGACTAGTGATATTAAAAAGATTAATATCACTACATGTGATATGCTCAGTAGCTCCGGAATCAATTATCCAAGTACAAGCATGTTGTGGTGTGCATGCCATATTTACTTGAGCAGTAGAAGAAAAACAACCCATAATTTCATATATGGGCTTAATGATGACATCATCAACCTCCATAGCCAAAAGGAAAGGAAATGGAAACCTAAAATTTTTGTTTCCAGGATTTCGGCTCTGATACCATGATAAAATTGTAAAGTATTCTAAAATTATAAAAATGCTGAAAATGAGAAAACCCTTTTCTGAAGGTGAGATGCACGTAAAGTGTATTTGTTTTTGTGTTATTGAACATACGGATTACACACATATATATAGTACAAGCAAATGATATAGGAAATGGGATGGAAGTGGTGCATGGGCCATATGTATGACATGCAACCACGTAGGTTGGTCTTATCAATATGAAACATTACATATTCAACAATGTAAAATACAAGAGCTAATAATTTAGCTAATAATATCTCAATACATCTCTTCTCGATTTGTATTGAAGCCCCTTTTCATGGTAAAGACTGACGAGTACTGTTTTGCTATTTATGAAAAGTTTGATGAGACGATGTGGACTGGAGCACCCTTTGAAAAAGAAAGGGTTAGGTAAGTTGTGTATTTCAGTATAGAGTATTTATTTCTAGGATATTTTAATACAATATTTTAATATTGAGCATTTGTTTCTTCCAGACAACTAATTATAGCAGTGGCGGAGGTTCAGAACCATGTAGGAAGACATGGTAACCTGGACCAATGGACTAACATCGTCATTTTGGACAACCAAGTCAAGTTAATGAACATAGCTCCACCACACGCAGACGATACGTATGATAGGCTTAAAGATGATGAGGATCTAGTTTTTTTGCTCAAGCATTTCTTTCTATCTGGACAGAGCTCCAACCCTGATATGGAGCATATGGTAAATATGCTCCGAAAAGGCATCTACTTTAGGTAATATTTGAATATTAAATACAAATATTTTATCATTAAAATTTGTTAAAAAAATTGGTACAACTTTATAGGAGTATTTTAGGATCAAATTGTTGGGTTCTTTATTTATTTTTGACCCATGAGGAAAGCCCAACTCTTGAGCCCATCAAAAGTCTTCTTTGACTTTCTATTTTGGGAGCTAATATTAAAAACAGGGTCTGCCATCTATCTATTACTCATGGACAGAAAGAGAGCAGCAGATAAGTGAGAACAATCACAAAACATGAGCTGAAGTGTGCTCATCCCGTTTTTCCAGCAGCAGCAGCAGAAAAATTCCGTTTCCCGGAGATTGAACCGTTGGATCGTCGTGATTTTTGGACAGCAGCTTCACAGCATCAGGGCCAATATTCTGGACGGTGGAGATCGGGTTTTGTGGTCCGGAGGTCGGGTTTTGTTGGTCTGGACAGTAGCTATTTTCTGGTGATATATTTCTTATCTTGGCTCTATTTGATTCCATACACCTTGATGTTCTTACTTCCAAGGATATGATGATGTTGTATGCCTCTAGTATTATCTAGAGAAGATTGTGTACTGCTCCTTTGATGATGATAGTGGATTTAAGCGGCCAAAATGGTCCCGTGGTTTTTCCCTAGTTAACGGGTTTTCTACGCTAAAATTCCGGTGTTTTTGTGTGGTGTGTGCTTACTGTTTTAGCTCATTATATTGGTGTGTGGCAGCAATATTGTGTGTTCTAATTGTATTAAGAACACCCTATTTGTTTGCATCCTCAAAGGTTCATTCAAGTTGGGGAAAGTTTAGCCAAACGGAGATTAATTCCGCATTTTATTAGTTCCGTGTGTGGCTGTTTTTCCCCATCAAATTGGTATCAGAGCCGAGTTCTTCTGTATTGGGTTAGACTTGTTTGAATGATGGAAGCAAACACAAGTAGGATGATCAATTTGAATGGTTCTAATTATCATGTTTGGAAAGGCAAAATGGAAGACCTACTTTATGTGAAGGATTATTATTTGCCTGTGTTTACTACTGATAAACCTGAGAGTAAAACAGATGCAGAGTGGAATATTTTGCATAGACAGGTTTGTGGGTATATTCGCCAATGGGTTGATGATAATGTTTTGAACCATATTAGCGGGGAAACTCATGCTCGCAGTTTGTGGAACAAGCTTGAACAGTTGTATGCTCGAAAGACCGGGAACAATAAATTGTTCTTAATAAAACAGATGATGAGCTTGAAATACCATGATGGCACTCCTGTCACTGATCATTTGAATTCTTTTCAGGGAATCATAAATCAACTTGCAGGAATGGGTATCAAGTTTGAAGATGAGATACAAGGCTTGTGGCTCCTTGGCACTTTACCGGACTCATGGGAGACTTTTAGGACATCATTGTCCAACTCTGCACCAGATGGTATTATCACCATGGAATTAGCTAAAGGCAGTGTTTTAAATGAAGAGATGAGAAGAAAGTCACAAGGTTCCTCTTCACATTCTGATGTCTTAGTTACAGAAAGCAGGGGGAGAAGTCAAAGTAGAGGTCCAGGTAACAAAGGGAAGCATCGAAGTAAATCCAAAGGAAAGTTTGCTGATTTTGAGTGCTATCATTGTGGTAGAAAAGGGCACACAATACGATTCTGCAGGCAATTGAAAAAGGAGAAGAAGAAGAGCGATTACAACAATCAAAAGAACCATAAGAAAGATGAGGGTGGTAATGGCAATGCTGAAGTTAACAGTGCTACCGATGAGTTCCTTATTTGTTCTGATCTTGATATGGTCAACATTGCACATGATGATTCCAGTTGGGTTGTTGATAGTGGTGCTACTTGTCATGTAACATCACAGAGGGATTTTTATTCATCTTACACTCTAGGTAACTTTGGTAATGTTAGGATGGGTAATAATGGACTATCAAAGATTGCAGGCATCGAAGATATTTGTTTGAAGTTTGACACTGGGATAGAGTTGGTTTTACATAATGTAAAACATGTTCCAGATATGAGACTTAATTTGATCTCCGCAGGCTTACTTGATGATGATGGTTACAGCAACAACTTTGGTAATGGAATATGGAAACTCACTCGTGGTTCTTTGATCGTGGCTAGAGGTAAAAGATGCTCAAAGTTGTACATGACACATCCGAAGATCTTCAAGGATAGGGTCAATGCTGTGGTGAACACTGACATGACTGATTTATGGCATAAGAGACTTGGTCACATGAGTGAAAAAAGGGATGTCTCTTTTGTTGAAGAGAAATGTGTTACCGGGTGTGCATGATATTCATCTAAAGAAGTGTTCTCACTGTTTGGCAGGTAAACAGAACAGGGTTTCCTTTAAGAGCCATCCTCCTTCCAGGAAGGAGAGTATACTTGATTTGGTGCATTCTGATGTTTGTGGTCCTATGAAGACTAGGACACTTGGTGGTTGCTCCTACTTTGTCACATTCATTGATGATCACTCCAGAAAGGTATGGGTTTATACCTTGAAATCTAAAGATCAAGTATTTGAGGTGTTTAAGCAGTTTCATGCCTCGGTTGAGAGACAGACTGGAAAGAAGCTCAAGTGTATTCGGACAGATAATGGAGGGGAATACATTGGCCCCTTTGATGCTTATTGTAGAGATCATGGTATTCGACATCAAAAGAGTCCTCCCAAGACACCGCAGCTGAACGGATTAGCAGAGCGGATGAACAGAACTTTGATGGAGCGTGTCAGATGTTTGTTGTCACATGCAGGGCTGCCAAATTCATTCTGGGGAGAAGCTTTGAATACAGCGGTACATGTTATTAATCTAACTCCTTGTGTTCCTTTGTCTTTTGATGTACCTGACAGGGTTTGGAGTGGCAAAGATGTTTCTTACCGTCATTTGAGGGTCTTTGGATGCAAAGCTTTTGTGCACATTCCTAAAGATGAAAGATCAAAGCTTGATGTGAAGTCCAAACCATGTGTTTTCTTGGGTTATGGCCAAGATGAGTTTGGTTACAGATTATATGATCCAGTCCACAAGAAACTTATTCGAAGCCGAGATGTTGTGTTTGTGGAAGATCAAACCTTGAAAGATGCTGAGAAGAAAGATACAGTTCCTCAACATAATGATGATGTTACTGATTTGGATCCAGTGCCTCCTCAGCATGTAGAACCACCTCTTGATAATGATGTTCAGAATGATGAACAACATGATACTGATGTTCCAGAACAGCCAGAGGTGGATGAAGAATTTCATTCAGAGATACCAGTACCAGACGTTCCACCATTTGTCCCACTTAGGCGGTCTACAAGAGATCGTCATCCTTCCACCCGTTTTTCAGCTAATGAGTATGTCTTACTCACTGATGGGGGAGAGCCTGAGTGTTATGCAGAGGTCATGGAAGATGAGCATAAAAGGGAGTGGGTTGAAGCCATGCAAGATGAGATGAATTCCTTACATGAAAATAATACATTTGAGTTGGTGAAGTTGCCTAAAGGCAAGAGAGCTTTGAAGAACAAGTGGGTCTACAAAGTGAAGACTGAAGAGCACACCTCACAACCTAGGTACAAGGCTAGATTGGTGGTCAAAGGGTTCAGTCAGAGAAAGGGTATTGATTTTGATGAGATTTTCTCTCCGGTCGTGAAGATGGGATCTATTCGTGTTGTTCTGGGTTTGGCAGCCAGCCTTGATCTTGAGGTTGAACAGATGGATGTCAAAACAGCTTTCCTTCACGGTGACTTGGATAAAGAAATCTACATGGAGCAACCTGAAGGGTTTCAGGTTAAGGGAAAAGAAGGTTATGTGTGTAGACTTCAAAAGAGTCTTTATGGGTTGAAGCAAGCACCAAGACAGTGGTACAAGAAGTTTGAGTCAGTTATGGGGGAGCAAAATTACCGAAAGACTACTTCAGACCATTGTGTTTTCTTCCAGAGGTTTGATGATGATGATTTCATTATTTTATTGTTATATGTTGATGACATGTTAATTGTTGGCAAGAATGCAGAAAGAATTACTCAGCTGAAGATGCAATTGAGCAAGTCTTTTGCTATGAAAGACTTGGGGCCAGCAAAACAGATTCTTGGCATTCGGATCACTCGAGATAGAGCTTTGAAGAAGCTACACATGTCACAGGAGCAATACATTGAGAAGGTGCTTCGCAGATTCAACATGGACAAAGCTAAAGAGGTTAGTTCACCTCTTACTACCAACTTCAGGTTGACAGATAAAGATTGCCCATCTTCTGAGAAGAAGATTGAAGAGATGGATAGAGTTCCTTATGCCTCAGCTGTAGGGAGTTTGATGTATGCTATGGTGTGCACACGGCCTGATATTGCCCATGCAGTAGGTGTTGTTAGTCGTTTTCTGTCAAATCCAGGTAAGAAGCATTGGGAAGCAGTGAAGTGGATTCTCATATATCTACGTGGTACTTCCAAATTGGGTATAACATTTGGAAATGGGAAGCCAGTACTTGTTGGTTATACTGATTCTGATATGGCAGGAAATAAGGACAACATGAAATCCACTTCTGGATATTTGATGACTTTTGCAGGGGGAGCTGTGTCATGGCAATCGAGACTGCAAAAGTGTGTGGTTTTATCCACCACCGAGGCTGAGTATGTGGCTGCAACAGAAGCTTGTAAGGAGCTATTATGGCTTAAAAGGTTTATGCAAGAGATTGGCTTTATGCAACAACGCTATGTGGTTCTTTGTGATAATCAAAGTACCATTCACCTTGCTAAAAATTGTATGTTTCACAAACGAACCAAACATATTGATGTGAGGTATCATTGGATTAGAGATGCACTTGAAGACAAACTGTTTGAACTTGATAAAGTTCATACCAATGATAATGGTGCCGATATGTTGACGAAGGTTCTAGCAAGGGAAAAGTTGAAGGTATGTTGCTCCATCGCCGGTATGGCGAACTCTTCCTCATAAGTCAAAAAGGGGGAGATTTGTGTTGGGTGTGTTTCGGAAAATAAAGAAAATTAATTAAAATAAATTAATTAATTAAAATGACGAAAGAAAAACAAGAAAAGAGATGGAGCAGAATTTGTCAAAGCTCGTGCTACGCATGATGTCCTTAAAACGTATTTGTTGCCTCCCACGGTGCTAGGAGCGTTGCAACAATAGTTTCCCAGGATACGATGACAACGAACTAGTGTTTGAGCACTCAAACAAAAGTTCCAGCGAACGAGAACAAAGGCTGAACACAGAAGGAATTTTCAGAGTGCTAGCAGTGTGTTTTTAGAGCTAAAACGTGTATGGATTCGTGTAAAATCGTGTGTGAATGTTCACTTGTTGCAAACCACCTGCCAGCCTTTATATAGGAGGATTTGTCGTGTGAAAATAGTGAATTAATGGACCTGAACGTTGGACATCAATGACCAGTCCGTTGGGCATTGAATCGTCCATGAACTGTCCATTTAACGCTGCATTAAAAGATATAAACGTTGGGCATTAATTGTTGTAACGTTTCAGAAGCGCGACAGAAGACCTCCATCAGAACACCCTGGGAGGGGTTCTGATCGGAGGCCAATCAGAAGACCCCAACTCTGATCCGCGGCCATCAGAATACCCCCAACTCTGATGGGCGGCCATCAGAATACCCCATCTCTGATGGGCGGCCATCAGAATACCCCATGAGGTGTTCTGCCATCAGAACACCAACGAGGTGTTCTGATCCGTAGGCTTCTGTCCGAGCATTCGTGTCCGCAGGTCGCCCGCGCACGCAAGTCGCGGTTTTTCTTCTCCGAATTCGGGATTTGATTTGCACCCCCCCCCCCTGCGCGCGTGGAGAGAGCCTTTACCTTTAAGAATCTTAACTCCATAAGGGGGGAGTCCTTTTATAAAGGGTAGCAAATCCCTTGGGTTTTCCGGTGTGCGAAATTAACACACTAGAAACCCATCCTTTTTCCCTTCTAACGGGTAAACTTCGAAAAGCGATTTCTCATTCACCCGTTATCCGTTTTGAGCGTACCACATATCGAATTGTAGCCCTTAACAAGGACAATCCAAACCACTTTGACCCGACCCAAATCGGAAGTGGACCCCACTCAAAAAATTGCCCCAAAATAGCCATTTAATGCAATTTTTCACACATTTTTCCAACAATTTGTTGGGTTCTTTCTTTATTTTTGACCCATGAGGAAAGCCCAACTCTTGAGCCCATCAAAAGTCTTCTTTGACTTTCTATTTTGGGAGCTAATATTAAAAACAGGGTCTGCCATCTATCTATTACTCATGGACAGAAAGAGAGCAGCAGATAAGTGAGAACAATCACAAAACATGAGCTGAAGTGTGCTCATCCCGTTTTTCCAGCAGCAGCAGCAGAAAAATTCCGTTTCCCGGAGATTGAACCGTTGGATCGTCGTGATTTTTGGACAGCAGCTTCACAGCATCAGGGCCAATATTCTGGACGGTGGAGATCGGGTTTTGTGGTCCGGAGGTCGGGTTTTGTTGGTCTGGACAGTAGCTATTTTCTGGTGATATATTTCTTATCTTGGCTCTATTTGATTCCATACACCTTGATGTTCTTACTTCCAAGGATATGATAATGTTGTATGCCTCTAGTATTATCTAGAGAAGATTGTGTACTGCTCCTTTGATGATGATAGTGGATTTAAGCGGCCAAAATGGTCCCGTGGTTTTTCCCTAGTTAACGGGTTTTCTACGCTAAAATTCCGGTGTTTTTGTGTGGTGTGTGCTTACTGTTTTAGCTCATTATATTGGTGTGTGGCAGCAATATTGTGTGTTCTAATTGTATTAAGAACACCCTATTTGTTTGCATCCTCAAAGGTTCATTCAAGTTGGGGAAAGTTTAGCCAAACGGAGATTAATTCCGCATTTTATTAGTTCCGTGTGTGGCTGTTTTTCCCCATCACAAATAAGGATCAGCAACATAGGAATTGAAATTGAATTGTATACTACTGTCTACTTCAGTGAAAGAATAATATGAGTAATTATAGACTAAAATCAAGGTACTTGGTTTTAATTTATAGTGTATACGAAAATCAATGCATTTTTAAAACATATATTAACAGTCACTCACAATCATTTTTCTTTAAAGTGGACCAATGTTTACATCCACAATATAGGTTTTTTGGCATTGATTGTATCAATTGTCTTCTTGGTGAGTAGTAAATTTATGATGTATTTTTAGTGCTCCTTACTTATTTAAAACTTGTAGTTTGTAAAAAGAAGTGAAATGCAATAGAAAAAAGATAAACAACAATCACAGCGTACTCTAAAATTAGTCATTGTAAATATATGTTTTATATTTCTTTCATTTTTGTTAGCCTTAGGGAATCCAAAGAAGACTTTGACAAGCGATCCACTTAAAATAAGTTGTTGTCTAAGGTTCTAAAATGGTAAAAATAAGAATTACCACATTAAAGAGCGTCTCTATTTTTGACAATATATTTTCAGTTCAAAGCAGATTACAAAAAGAACTCATACCCCTCCCCCCCGAAATGCATATGTTCGTTTTAATAATCCTATGGACTCCTAAATTCAAATATATATATATATATATATATATATATATATATATATATATATATATATATATATTAAGGGTCCCTGTATTGATTTTCTGAAATTGAACATCCTATATGGAGTTCAGTTATTATTATTATTATTGTCAGTTAAGAAAGCATGTTAAATACTCCGTATAAAGGTAACATTTATTTTGAATAAAGATGTATGATGTTTATCATTTAAAAGTATATAGAGTTATTTATAAAGAATGGAGAATGACAAATGCGTGTTTGAAGATGTTCTTCATTAAAATTTTCATTGTCATCCATTATAAGAGTAGTATCGTAAATAATGTGTCGCATTCAAGGTATTCACATTCCATTATTACAATTATTGGCAGATAACAAACAAAACTTTGAACCACGAGCCGCTATTCTGAATCTGTAAATAATTTTTTGAACCACTTACTTTGATCTTTGTAAAAGTATTTCAAGCTTCTGTATTCTTTAATCTCTAAATACATCTAAATGTTGTCAATCAGTTGAGCATACCTCTTGTTAGACAGCCCAGCCTTCTAAACTGTTTTTTATCTGAACCCTGAACTCACTGATATGAAATACAGTGGTTTAGAGTTTTCAATGCATTTATTCAATCAGAAAAACTTCTACATTTAACTCAATAACCAAAAACTCCAGCAAACCCATTCCTCTACGTTTCTGGAAAACACATTTTTTGTAGGCCTTTGATGTCCCGTTATATTTTATTTTCCTACTAAATAACTGTTAGGATTCCTTTTTCCATTTAAGCTTCTTAATTAAATACGGAGTAACTCTTATGTGTTTAGGGTAATGTTGGTTCTGACAAAATGCATGAGTTTTATTTTTCATGCTTGTGACTGACTTACAGTTTTGAAGGCTTTGATGAAAAACTTAAGACCATTTTAATAAATACAGGAACAATTTGAACTTTATTGCCTAAAAGAAACTTGTTACCGGAGAATGAAGATATTAGACTGTCTGCCTTCAGAATTGGAAGTATATGTGTTAACCTTCATTGGATATGTTGGTGATTTTTTAAAATAAATACCTGGTATAAAAAAAGGTATAAATTTCTATTTTTAATGTGTATACAATATATATCATAAGATACACAAGTACAAAGCTATAAGCCTTCATATGATGTGCCAGGAATTTGGGGGGATGAAAAGTTTATTCTGTATTTTATTTTGAAGACGAGAGCAATGGATATTAAGTGGCTTTCCCCTAGGCTTTGTTTTTACTGATTGAATACAATTAGATTTTAGAGATCTTTAAAGAAAGTTTTAAAAAATTTGATCACTAATAAGTAATCACAAATTAGTGAATTACAACCAACAAGTGTCTTAGTTTGGTGTGAGTTCAAAATACAACTAACCAGCTACTTTAGTTTAAAGGCCTAGAAACATAAATGTATATTTGAATCAAAACTCTTTATGCTTTGCTCACTTCACTCCAAACCAACTCCTTGAAAAGCTAGAACTCTCATTCTAATTATATGAAACAGTTTCCTGTAAAAAATTAAAAGTAAAACAAACAATACAATCTTATTTTTCTTTAGAAACAGTCTAAAAGAAGCATTGTTCTATTACAAATACCAAGAAGCATTTATTGGATTACTTCTTCTGATGCATAAATTCCCATTTCATATAACGCCATTGCCTTTTTTTCATAAGATGTATTTCAATTTTTTTTTGTTCTTGGTTCTTTGAAACTCATTTTTGTGAATCTATACTCACTTTTACCAAATCAGAATACCCATGGTTGTTAATATTCCCATGGACTCCTAAATTTAAAAAAAATATATATAAGGCTCCCTGTATTGATTTTTCTGAAATTGAAAATCCTATAAGGAGTTCAGTTATTATTATTTTCAGTTAAGAAAACATGTTAAATATAAAGCTAACATTTATTTTGAATGAAGATGTATGATGTTTAACATTTAAAAATATAGAGTTATCACTTTGTTCGAGTGACTGTGAACTTTATAATTTCCAGTTTGAAGAATGAAGAATGACAAATGCGTGTTTGAAGACGTTCTTCATTAAAATTTTCATTGTCATCCATTATAAGAGCAGTTTGGTAAATAATGTGTTGCATTCAAGCTATTCACATCTTGAACCACAAGCCGTCATTCTGAATCTGTTAATAAATTTTCTGAACCACTTACTTTGATCTCTGTAAAAGTATTTCAAGTTTCTGTTTTCTTTAATCTTTAAATACATCTAAATGTTCTCAATTAGTTGAGCATACTTCTTCTTAGACAGCCTAGCCTTCCAAAACTGTTTTTTTATCTCAACTCTGAACCCACTAATATGAAATACAGTGGTTTAGAGTTTTTGATGCATTTATTGAATCAGAACAACTTCTACGATTCACTCAATAACCAAAAACTCGTTAACTTCTATGAATCAATTCCTCTACGTTTCTGGAAAACATATATTTTTGTAGGCCTTCGATTTTCTGATATACATTGTCCTAATAAATAGAGTAACAGTTAGGATTCCTGTTTCAGTTTAACCTTCTTAATTAAATAACTCTTGTGTGTTTAGGGTAATGTTTGTTATGACAAAATGCATGAGTTTTATTCTCCAGGCTTGTGACTGACTTAAAGTTTTCAAGGCTTTGATGTAAAACTTGAGCCCGTTTTAATAAATAAAGGAACAATTTGAACTTTATTGCCCAAAAGAATTTTGTTTTCTAATAAAAGCTGCTGTATATCTTAAATAGGTAGTCTTTTAACTATATCTTGTTAAGTAGAGAAATTATAATTACACAGAGTACTTATCATCTTTTAAATAGGCTCATTCGGCTGGCGAACCACCCATTCTTTCTTCCCAATACCGACACACGACTCTGTTATATGTCACATCTTTACAATTTGATTTGGAGGGAAGACAAGGTATTTAGGTCGTTATTCAACAATTACACTACTGTGCCAGGCAATTGGGTCAACCAAGCAAAGAATGGGCCACTGGAGTCTAACATAAATTCCACAAAACACCCGTACCAAGATACAGCCAGTGACCTATTACGTTTATATAGAAACGCGTGGATTCATAAGGTGGGAATCCCGATTGGATTAATTTTCTATTTTTAAATATTTATACAATTTATTTTTTATAATAATAGTTGTTAACATTATTTTTAGGAAGATACAATGCGCAGCGAGAGATTGGAACCCATACTAGATGCTTTAAGCCCAGGCTTCATTTACCAGGCTTATGACTTTGTTTTTGATTACGACCGGAAAAGTTTGGATGAACGAAAAGTTTGGATGAACGAAGTGCTATATTAACACATGGGCTACTCCTCCTAACAGGTTGACCTTTTAGGATGGAACCCCGTGTCTTAACATGGTTTCAGAGCCTTAAGTTTTTTTTTCCTTTCTCTTCCGCAAGAATGTCGCATGACTCGTCCGCCTCAGGCGTTACTACTGCCGCCGACTCTTCTCTCTCGGGTCCAGTCTCTTCTTCGGCGGCTCGTCATGATGGCACATCGCCCTCTTCTTCTCTGGCGCTACCATCTACACTTGATATCTCCTCTCCGTTTGCTCGACGTGTTAGTGCAAACGATTCTTTTGCTCTGCCGTCCATGGATCCCTACAGGTTATTTGGCAATCGTGAGCAATCTTTGGGCATGCCTCCGCCGTTTACATGGACACCAGCGATGGTCTCTTCTATGCCGATGTCTTCCTTGCCGTCTCTGCATGCTCCAATAGGCCCTCCTCCTTCATTGTTCAATTCTGCTCCTTCCAACACTGCCCAAACATCCAGTAGTCAGCTTCCACCTCCAGCAGTTTTCACGGGCTCTACTTTTTCAGGGCAGCCGGGCACATCTTTTCTGCACAATCAGGTCTTGACCACGCCAGGTTCTACATCCTCTTCTTCTTTTTTGGGATCATTGGCCTCTCAATTAACTTTCTCCACGCCTAACGTGACAAATATTGTCACTACGCGCTTGAAGGCTGTGGAAGATTACCTCCCGTGGCGTACCCAATTCGAATCTTTTCTAGTTTCCCACAGTCTTCTTGGGATTCTAGATGGATCCGTTTCGGCTCCGCCACAATATATTCATGACGCGAATCGGAGGGAAGTTGTTAATCCTGAGTATCATTACTGGCTTAAGATAGATCAAACTGTCCGGTCATGGCTTTTTACTACTTTATCTCGAGACATTTTAATGGAGGTGTATGATTTAAAGTTTTCTGCCCGTATTTGGCAATGTCTTGAAACAAGGTTCATGTCAGCCTGTTTAGCTCGCTCTATGGAGCTTAAACGCCAGTTATCTCACATTAAAAAGAAGGAATCTCAGTCGATAGATCAATACCTTTTGGAAATTAAAGTGCTGGTTGATAATCTTAATTCCATTAATTCACCCGTGAGCAATCGTGATTTAATTGAATACACCATTCTTGGGTTAGGGCCTGAATATGAGTCGTTAATTACGGTTGTTACATACATTCCGGGTGAGGTTACTCTTGAGACACTACGGCCCATTCTTCTTGCTCAAGAACAACGAAATCTGTTTCTCCGCTCCCAAGAATCTGCTGCACCTCACCAAGCCTTCGCAGCTCCAGCAGTTCCAGCCGCCCCAGCGGCTCCTCAGCGAGGGGGTGTTCCTTCAGCAGCCCGTGGACAAGGAGGAAGGGCCCAAGGAGGGCGCGGTTACCGCGGCGGTCGTGGTCGTGGTCAACGGGGTAGAGGTCGTGGTTTTGGTGCTCCATTTCAGCGTCAACAGGCAGCTTATGGAAATCAGCAACCCCCTCTACTCCCGCTGCCCCAGTTCGGTCAGGCTCCCGGACAGATTCTCTATGGTCCTCCTCGGGCACAGGCTACAGCTGGTACTCCAGGTACGGTATTTAGTAATGTTTTGTCTGGTTCTTCGTACTTAAATTACTTCTCTACTTGTGGTACTAATAACATCAGTGCAGGTTTTCCATCTGGGGATAGTAATCATTTTCCACCACCTCCAGTTGTCTGCCAAATTTGTTTCTCTCCAGGTCATTCAGCACTCACTTGTCCCCGGTATGTTGGTTCGTCTGCGCCAGCTCTTGCTACTCTTCCTTCGGGTGAATCAAATGCTGCTGTGTGGTACCCTGATTCCGGGGCATCTGCGCATATGACCCCTCATGAAGGTATTTTGTCTTGTAAATCTCCTTATACTGACTCCCATTCGGTGCAAGTTGCTAATGGTACTAAATTACCCATCTCCCATATTGGTAGCGTTAAACTTGTTACTCCCGGTCGCTCACTTACCTTAAACTCCGTTTATCATGTTCCGCACTTAAAATATAATTTATTATCTATTCATAAGTTGTGTGCGGATAATGATTGTACGGTGATTTTTAATAAAAATTCTTTCTCTATAAAGGACAATCAGACGGGGGCGCATCTTCTTCAGGCTTCCAATAAAGACCACCTATACCCGTTCCATGCCTTTCAAACTACTCTTATTCCTGGACCTACTTGGCACAAGCGTTTGGGGCACTGTGGTGATAAAGTTTTACAACGTCTTCGGCAAAATAATTTTATTTCTCTTTCTAGTAATTTTAGTCACAATTGTGTTTCATGTAAGCTGGGTAAATCCCACAGACTCCCATTTCATGATGTTTTTCATTCTTGCACTGCACCTTTAGAAATTATACATTCTGATGTGTGGCAATCGCCCGTTATTTCCAATTTAGGATTTAAATATTATGTTTCTTTTATTGATGATTTTTCTCGCTATACTTGGGTTTATCCTATGCGGCGTAAGTCTGAGGTTTATACTCATTTCTGTAATTTTCAAACACTTGTTGAAAATCTTTTTGATAGGAAAATCAAAGTTTTTCAGAGTGATGGTGGTGGCGAATTTGACAATATTATTTTTAATAATCATTTTTTGAAATCTGGTATTTTGTTTAGAAAATCTTGTCCAGATACTCCAGCTCAAAATGGTGTTGCTGAGCGTAAGCATCGGCATCTCCTAGAGTTAACTAGAACTATGTTAATTGAGGCTTCTATTCCGCCTACTTTTTGGGTTGATGCTTTATACACGGCCACATATATTGTTAATCGTCTGCCAACACCACTCCTGAATAATTTTACTCCTTTCGAGAAGCTCTTTAATAAACCTCCAGACTTTAATTTTTTACGGGTTTTTGGGTGTGCGTGTTTTCCAAATTTCATTGCCAAGTCTTCTAATAAACTTTCACCTCGCTCCACTCGTTGTGTCTTTATTGGGTATGCTCCGGGTTACAAGGGTTATCGGTGCTTAGAGCCTATTTCTGGACGGGTATATATTAGCCGGGATGTATTATTTCATGAAACTGATTTTCCTTTTTCTACACTAGTTTCCCGCACCACATCACCCCCCGTCACTATCACAGATCTCCCTCTTTCTTGGTCGCCATCCTCTACCCGATCCCCACCTGCACAATATGTTTTCTCCCTACCTTCGGCCAACACTTCTGGATCACTCCAGTCCACGCCGCATCACACTTCTCCACTAACCCCACAGGCATTCCTTCGTTCCAGTAGCTCCAGTGGTGACCTCATCCCAGATGACCTTTCACCCTCCAGTAGTTCCAGTAGCTCTAGTAGCATCCCAAATGATCTCACCCCTTTTGACCATGCCGCAACCAAGACCAGCCCCCCCAGTTCCCTCTCACCTTCCACGGATAATACTACTACACCATCAAATAATTCCCCCTCTTCCACTTTACCATCCCTTAGCCCGCCTCCTGTCGTTAATATCCATCCCATGCGTACTCGCGCAAAAGATGGCATTTTTAAGCCTAAAACAATTTTTAATTTGAGTGTTTTTTCGCCCCCGGATGATCCTACTTGTTTTTCACAAGCTCAAAAATTTCCTGTTTGGCGGGCGGCCATGGCTGATGAATTTAACGCTTTAATTGCTAATAAGACATGGGATTTGGTACCCTGGGATAGCACGAAAAATGTAGTTGCTTGTAAGTGGGTTTACAAGACTAAGTTTAATTCTGATGGGTCTGTTGAACGGCACAAGGCACGTTTGGTTGCCCAAGGTTTTAAACAACAGGCTGGCGTAGATTTCACCGAAACATTTAGTCCTGTTGTTAAACCTACTACTGTTCGTCTCGTTTTATCTGTTGTTGTTGCTCGTGGATGGTGTATACGCCAATTAGATGTCAAGAATGCTTTTCTCCATGGTCATCTTACAGAGGAAGTCTTCATGCGTCAGCCCCCGGGCTTTATCCATCCGTCTTTTCCTCATCATGTCTGTCGCCTTAAAAAGGCTCTTTATGGTCTTAAACAAGCTCCCAGAGCCTGGTTTCACCGATTTAGCGGCTTTCTTTTATCCCAGGGGTTTTCACAAAGTAAGTCAGACTCATCTATGTTTGTTTTTCGCACTCAGACACATGTAGTATATATTCTTCTCTATGTGGATGATATTTTAATCACTGGGTCTTCTGTTGTTCTTGTTCGGTCCATTATTCAGTCTTTATCTACTCAGTTTGCCATGAAGGATTTGGGGGATATTCATTTTTTTCTGGGTCTTCAGACCAAACGCACCTCAAAGGGTCTGTTTCTATCTCAGCATAAATATATTTCTGACTTATTAAGGCGTTTCCATCTTCATACTGTTAAACCTATTCGTACCCCTTTACCTTCGCGTACTACACTCTCTCTTACAGATGGAGAACTTCTCACTGATGCTACTGAGTATCGCAGTATGGTAGGTGCTTTACAGTACTTGATTTTGACTAGACCTGATATTACTTATGCCGTACACTTGGTATCCCAGTTTATGCATGCGCCTCGTACTACTCATCTTTTGGCTGTGAAGCGTATTTACAGATATTTGCAGGGCACTATGGACTATGGGTTGTGGCTCCAGTCCAACCGTGATATTTCTCTTATTGTTGCCTATTCAGATGCGGATTGGGCTGGTTGTCCTGATAGCAGTCGCTCTACTACTGGTTACGCTATTTTTCTGGGTCCAAATTTAATTTCCTGGCGGTCCAAGAAGCAACCCACTGTCTCAAAATCATCTACTGAAGCGGAATATAGAGCTATAGCATATACAGTTCAAGACACCTTGTTTATCCGATCCCTGATGGCCGAGATGGGTCTCCATATTTCTTCTCCCGTACAACTACATTGTGATAATGTCTCTGCATCCTATCTAGCTGTGAATCCTATTCAGCATGATCGCAGCAAACACATCAAGATCGATTATCATTTTGTTCGTGAACGCGTTGCTCATGGAGATCTTGTTGTTAAATATGTTCCTACTCAGTTACAGTTAGCTGATATTTTCACCAAAAATTTATCTAGTCAGCGTTTTGAGTTTTTGCGTTCCAATCTGCGCGTTGTTTCCCCTGCACAGATTGAGGGGGTGTAATAGATAGTAATATTGGGACATATTTGTAATTCTCTTATTTCATCTGTTTAGTATAAATATACCATCAGGGCACCCTATTAGGGTAACCCATTATTCATAATATTGTATAAGTATATGAAACATATGTATATTTTTTTTATCTTTATGTGTGTATAATTGTTTTTTAAGAACTTGCTAAAAAAGTCTGCATTATTTATTTTGATTGTATTTGCTCAGGAACGAGTGGGAGAACCAGCCTTTGTACCTCGGCTGGAGCTGAGAAGCTGGAGCTGAGAAGCAAGGCCGTGCCTACTGTGAGGCTACCGAGGCATGGGTCTCAGGGCCCTAACAAAGTGAAAAATTCAAGGGCCCAATATTTTAGCTTTCTTCCTATTATATACAGAGTATATGTATTTTTAATATAAAAGACATGCCTTTGTTTAATTTTATTGGTGCTGCGTTTGAAAACTGAAATAGCCCAGCAATTGACCAAGTACGGAGTACGTATTAAGTTAGTAGAGGAATGGCCGAACCAGATCACCTTTTATTCCTTTTAACAAGAAGAGTACTTTTCAAAACTTTTAATAATGCATCTCAAATCCTTTTAATCTTTCATTCATTATGTTTCGATTTTCATATTTTTTTGAATTGTATTTAATTTTCAACTTTTGAGATTATTAGTGTTGGACCCGGGCCGGGTCGGGCCCGGGCCGGGTCAAGGCCCGGTCGGGCCTCGGGTCCTATAATGGTAGGCCCGGGACCGGCCCGGTCAATCACCGGTTCCGGTTTGGGCCGGGCCACCCGCCCAGGTCACGGGTCGGGCCACCCGCCGGGCCGGGCCGGGCCATTATATTTTTTTTATTAATTAATTATATAATTTATATATTATACAAATTGCTATTAAAAACAAAGTTCAAGTGCATTTATTTGAAATAAGAACTACATTTGAGAATTGAGAAAAAAACAACAATACGAAATACATTTTGTAATGAATATCAATTGGGATTTCCGCCACCGTTGGTTGTTGTTTTCCCTTTGTCACAAGACTTCATATGTTTTATTGGCATCCCGTATCCGTATGAACCCCCCAAGCAACACTCTTTCTTGCACCACCTGCAAGTTGCCCACCACAGACCGGTCTTCGGGTCCTTCCACTTGTCAAAATTGTTTTGCATAAGGGAAGATGTACTTTCCATATTTAAAATGGTATATGTATAAGTAGGAATGTAGGATAATAAGAGAAGATGAAGATGGAGAAGAGTTTGAGATGAATTGGAGAAGAGATGTAAAAAAATGTTAGAAAATAGATGTATTTATAGATGTTTTTGAACCTCACTCCCCACACCACCACCCCCGGGACCCCCTGCCCCCCACCCATAGCCCCAACGGCTATATAGCCGTTTGGGAAGTTTGAATTAATTTTTTTTTTTTAAGTTATACACATATTGTAAAATAAATTAATTAATTTAATGAATTAAGTAAAAGTAAAACTATTTGTACTTAGAAAAGTGGTTTGATTTATAATTTACAAATGTTACAAAATAGGTGTATAAGTATTTAAACAAATTACATATTCTAAATGTATTTTTAATTTAAAAACCGGCTTTATATTTTAGAAAAATAATTTTAAGTCATTAGATTGTAACCAATTAATTAATTTGAGAAGTGCTACATATGAAAAAGTGAACACATATTTATTTGAAATATGAAGTACAAGTTTACAAATTAATTTGAACTACAACTACAAATTTACAATTTTGAAATATGAAGTACAAGTTTACAATTTTGAAATATGAAGTACAAGTATAAATAAATTTGACAAGTGCTATATAATACATTTTGTAATAAATTCTAAAATACTAATCAATCGGAATCTCCGGCATAGGTAGAGCCACCATCGGTTGTTGAGTCATCCATAAAATCTTGGGAGGGGGTGATGCTCAATTCTTGAGTTCTATGTGCGGCCTTCAACCAATCGTGGTAGCATATAAGCGTCTCAAGAGACTCCGCGCTCAATCTCGATCTAGATGCCGTTAGGACGTTGCCGGCCGAACTAAATTCTTGTTCCACAGCAACTGTTGAAACCGGCATTGATAGTATTTGCTTAGCCATCCGTGCTAAAATCGGGAACGTTCTTTCTTTTGACTTCCACCAGTCTAGAACGTCAAAGTCATCATTTTCTTCAAAATCAACTTCATATGTTAAATACAAAGTAATCTCATTCAATGCGCTTTGTTCAGTGACATGAGTTGTTTTAGTTTTTTTCATAAGATTGCCAAATGCAGATTTAAAAATCGATTTTCCTTTAGATGAAGATGTTCGTGACGGGGGAGGGGGAGCGTTGCTATATTGTGCACGAAATTCATTAAATAAGGCATAAAATAAAGTACTAACCTCGTTGTATTCCGTTTTCGGATCTATGGGGTTATCGTCATACATTTGAAATTCACCGAAAAACGCAAGATAATAGAAGTTGAAACAATCTTCCAAATTAGCAAGTCTATAACGAGGATCGAGAATAAATGCAATACCATAAATATGGGGAATATGCGCATAATATTTTAAAAACTTTTCCTTCATATGATCACAAAAATAATGAACGAAAACGGCATTTTGAAATTCTTTAAAAGCATCGGCGAGATTAACAGCTTGTGGAATAAATTGGTTTGCGGTAGGTTTATAAACATGACTAAAAGTTTCAGTAGCATTAAAAAAATATATCAAAACATTACAAATTTTTTCGCAAGTGTCGATCTCAGCCGCGTTTATAATATAGTTATCATGTTCTTTTAAAAAAGCAGGAAAATGTTCTTTATATCTAAGAACAACTTTAAGTAATTTATAAGTACTATTCCAACGAATACTCAAATCTTTAGGAAAAGCAACATATCTCACACCTCTTTCAGTCAAATAACTTTGCCATTTTAATCTAAGTTGACCATTACCCCAAATACGTCTAATCCCCCCCTTTATTACCTCCATGGAATCTCCTAACGCTTTTAAACCGTCTTGCACACATAAATTTATAACATGACATGCACAGCGTTGATGAAAAAATCTACCCATCAAAGAATTGGCACCACACAACTCACGCAATCTAGGTATAGCAGCAGTATTATTAGTAGCATTATCGAAACCAATAGCAAACACCTTATCAATCAAATTATACTCAATTAAAATACGCTCAATCAAAATATAAATATGTTCAGCGGTGTGACGATCATTAAATTCACGAAAAGCAAGAACACGTTTATGCATATTCCAATCCTCATCAATATAATGTGCAGTCAGACCCAAATAATATAAATGATGAAAATCATCCTCCCATATGTCAGAACAAATAGTAACACGCCCATCAAAGTTTGCAAAAAAATTTTGTAACCTTACCTTTTCCGCATTATAAAGCCTTATTATTTCTTTCTTAACAGTTTTGCGACTATAATTTCTAAATTGAGGATTTAAACTACCTTGTGCATAATCTCTTAAAGCAAGACTTTCAGAAAACAAATAAGGCAAATTTTCTTCACAAATTAAGTTAGCCATACCAGTCAAATTTTGTGCATCATTGTAGGAGAAATTACCAAAAGGTTGAGAATTCGCAAACCTCGATATTTGAGTTTGCTTCCCCGTTCCGCCGCCTAATTTTGCATACTCCACGGGGTGCTTTGCCTTAAGATGCCTTGCGGCGGATCCGTATCCGCCGGAGGTTCCCAAACTATAATTGTTGTTGCACCACTTGCAAGTTGCATGCCAATAGCCGGTTTGTGGGTCCTTCCATTTATCAAAATTATTTTTCATTAGTTCAGACTTACTTTTTTTTATTACCGGTGGCGGTTTGGGATGAGGCAGGCGCGTCGGCGTCGTGGCTGCCGGCACCCTCCTCCTCGGCCGTCTCCGGTTCCAATTCCTCCGCATCTTCATCCTCAAGCTCCTCTTCGTCAATGGTCGTCGGCATTTGTTGTTGTTGTAGAAAGCGGTTATTATGTCGGGCCAATTCTTGTTGGAGTTGCTCTTCGGACATCGCATCTCCATCTCGCCTTTGGTAACCCGTTTCAAAATCATCTCGGCTTTGAGATGAAGACCCGGCAAGTTCTTTACCTTTGCGGGATTTCTTCCTACCAATCTCGTTTCTTCGATTGCGTTAGAGGTTACCCAAATCAACCGAATATCTACCACCTTCCATCTAAAAAATGTAACAAATATTAATTCACAACAAATATAATAATGGATACAAAACTAATGCAACTAATTAAAACTATTTTAATTAATACTTCAAACTTATTTTGTGCAAAGTAGAATTAATGTGTGTCTCTACAATTAAAATTATAGCAACTTTTGAAGTAAATAACTAGTACAATAAAAAATGTAACAACAATGCTAATTAAGTAGTTAACTAGTATAGTGACAAATGTAACAAACTAACAACTAGTTAAATAAAATGTGAAGTATTTTAATTAGTATAATGAAAAATGTAACAAGAATGATAATTAACTAATTAACTAGTATAATGAAAAATGTTACAATAATGGTAATGAACTAATTAACTAGTATAATGAAAAATGTAACAAGAATGCTAATTAACTAATTAACTAGTATAATGAAAAATGTTACAATAATGGTAATGAACTAATTAACTAGTATAATGAAAAATGTAACAAGAATAATTAACTAATTAACTAGTATAATACTAGTTATAGTAAGTAATATATAATATAATGTTTATATTATATAATATATAAGTAAACTACTATAAGATGAGTAATACACTTATATTTTATACTTTAATATATAAAATATATATTAAGTAGATGTAGAATGTATGTATTAAGTGGATATAATAATTGTATAAGAATTAAATATTAGAGTATAATGGAGAATTGGAGATTGGAAAATAAGTATATATATAATATAAGTAGAGAAGTAGATATTATTATGTATTAAGTATATAGTAATAGTTTATAAAGTATATTTAATACTTTATTATATAAAGTATATATATTAAGTAGATATAGTATGTATGTATGTATGTATTAAGAGATATAAGTAGAGATTAAGTAGATAAGAAATATAAGTAATATAGTATATGTAGATAATAATATATAAGTAGATAATTAATATATATATAAGTAGATATAATAATTGTATAAGTATTAAATAGTAAAATAAAATATAAAGGAGAATAAGAGAATTTGAGAAGATAAATATGGAGAATTGGAGATGAGTAGAGAGTAGGATTTAGGTAGAGTTGGAGAAGAGGTGTGAAAAAATGTTTAAAATTAGGAGTATTTATAGGTTTTTTTTTAACCCCAACCCCCACCCCACCCCCCACCCCCCCACCCAAAGCCCCCTGACCCCCCCCCTGGTACCACCCAACGGCTATATAGCCGTTTGGGTGACCGTTGAGCCACCAAAAGAAGCAAAAAAAAAAAAAAAAAAATTTAAATTTGGACCGTTAGGCCCGGGCCCGGGCCCGACCCGGCCGGGCCGGGCCTCCAAAATCAGGACCCGAGCCCGGTCCCGCTTACCCGACCGGGTCTGTGCCCGAACCGGACCCGGACCCGAGAACCGGGCCGGTTCCGGGCCCGCACAGTGGCGGGCCGGGCCGGCCCCGGGCCGGGCGGCCCGAACCGGGTCCACGCCTAGGCCAGCCCCATAAACCAATCAAAAAAAAAATTTAAAATTGTAGCCGTTAGGCCCGAACCGGGCCCGGCCGGGCCGGGCCGGTTCGCCATTTCCCATACCCGAGCCCAAACCGCCCAACAGCAGGCCGGGCAGGCCCGGACCGGTCAAAGCCCGGTCAACCGGGCCAGTCCGGTTCGCACAGTAACCGGGTCGGGCCGGGCCCGGTTCGGGCCAACCGGCCCGAGTCCAGCCCTACTTTCAGACAGGGGAATGGGCTGGCCCATTTACTTGCTGTCCAAAGTCTTGGATATGCCCATAGATGTTAGCAGAAGGCAGAAGCTATTTGGCTGATTTATTCGGATTACCTACGTATCGTTATTAATTCATGTTTTTTAATTTTTGGTAAAGTTTGGTGCCCCAGATTGTATCCCAATTTTGGGATTATTATTTTCAATTTTTCCTTCTAAAAAAGTTTACGTGGAGTTGGAATATACTATCGAATCAGCAAGGGCCAATTTGTCCTTCCCCATTGAAATCTACACATGTTCAATGACTTCCTGCGTTTAGATAATCTAAACTAGAAGACAGAGACATTGAAGTTCAAATGCTCTACACTGCCTCTACACAAATACATAAATCACTCTCATAAGGTTTACACGGTTTGAGGACTCACAGCCCGCCCAGGCACTCCAAAAAACACAACCAATTTTACAGATTACATTTTGAATATCTGTACCACACATTTCGAAAATGGTCAATGTCTCTTGTTTAGTAATAAGTTTAACAAATAAATTGAAACCAGTCAGGCAATCAGAATAAGAGGTACACATGGAAGGAACAAGACAAATGTTAGATATGATTTCATCACTGTAAAACAGGTCATTATCAATTAATATAGAAAATTAACAGAGGGAGCAGGGAGAATAAAAGAGTACACAGTTGCGCTAGCAAATGAACCTATTGAAATGAAGCTTAAAAACTTTTGCAAGCAAGCAGATCACTCAACTCACTCCATGATGGGAGAGGGATTGCAGATCGCAATACATCCTTTAAACAAACATATAAAATTCAAGAAGAAGAAGTCTGGCACGACAGAAAAATAAATTGGTATTTCACTTTAGTTAAAGAGAGAAATGCTATTGAGAATGAAAACGGAAATGAAACGCAAGAGTTAAAGATGTATCATCGAGCAATTGATCCTTCAAGCCAGAAACCACTTCTACATGTAATCAAGATCATGTATTCCTGCGTCGAATTCCAGACCTGATGTCCAGTCATCAACGCCAATAGGAGAAGTTATAATTCTTAAATTTCCATTACACCTCAGCAGGGAACACCTTGCTTTAAATTAATGGACAGATTCATCACTTGCAAAGGGATTGTTAAGTAAATCCATTCGTTGGCGCAGCAGATAGATATCTTCATACACGAAATGATACTTCATAAGCAGAGGGTCTTCACGTAGAACCTATATATTTTAATAAAAAACAAACAACGAACAAAATAAAGGTGAACGGATTAACCATATATACATAATTGAAGTGAAACGTTGCGACGAATAAAGGTATGGCTCCAGCAAAACAAATGAAACCAATCTTAATAAAAGTTCAAGTTTTTGGTGGACGAGTACTTTTTTAAGTATTAGTTAACTAAAATATAATAGAACAAGTGAAACATTTTAAATCACTTGTCCCCGGCTTACATGTTTTAACTTTAAAGTGCTTACGTCTCCAAAACCCATTAGCCCAATAGAAAAATGGCATCGCCACGTGACAAAAAAAACTACAAAATGAATAATAGACACTTATTGATCAACCCGACCATCAAAACATGATCAGATTGTGGGTGCTAAATGCAATAGAGAATATGAAGGGGTCATAAATGGAAGAGAAAAAAAGATGGTACACATGATTTCATCCAAGGTTTAAAATGGCATATGGCGTAGCCGTGGCAAATTTTTAGAATTGCATATTGCAAAAGCCTCATTGCGTAGGTTTTATTTTTAACAATGTCCGCCATATGCAATGCAATTTTACGGAATATACCTGGAAGTAGGTGAGGCGCACCATAAAGCGCTATGGCATTGCACAATTGCAAATGTTCATTTCATCACTATTGAAACTGCTAATCGTCAATTAAGATGGACAATTAATCAAAGGAGGCAGTGTGAATAAATAGAATCCAGGGTTCGCTTAACAAATCGATCAACTCGGGATAATGCATCTCCTTGTGAGAAACAAATGAGGAGGGCAAAAACACGTGATATCTCATTTTAGTTCAAAATAGAAAGGGTACAATGAATGAATTTGGAAATGAACTGCAAATGTTAAGAAATGCCATCAAATGGTTTGTCTACATTGTAACCACTCCTCCCACACATAATTAAGATTAAGTCTTCCTTAGATGAATTTCACACCTTATGATCTGTCACCAACGCCCAAGCTAGTCAAAAGCACTCGTCCCAGCGCTTAAGCGCACTAGGCACAGCGAGCAGGGCCTGCGGCGCTTGGGAGAAGAGGAGGCACGTGTACCTGAGTCAGGCGCAGAATAAGCGCATGGCTGAAGCGCAGGGAGGCATTGTTAGGATCATGGGCCAAGGAGAATAATAATAAGAATATTATAATAATAACCAATAATTGTGACAGTGTATTAGAGGGGCCCGGGGCTGGGTGATAGGGACCTGCCTATTAGACTAATATATAGACTAGTAGTTATTAGTTAAAATTATGTAATACATATTAAATAAAGTCAGTTGCGGGACTGCTATAAATAGAAGTAAGGCTGGGAGGGGAAAGTAGGCTTTTGGGACTTTGGTCTGGGACTGGGAAAATTTGAGACTAGTCATCTCTATCTTTGGGAGGCTTCGACCTTGGTTACCGTACTATTCATCTTCTTCTCTAATAAAATTCAGTTTGATTTCTTGTTCTCCTTCTGTAATTTGTTCTGGAATCTTGGGGGTTTCTATCATTGGTATTAGAGCTGTTATTTCTATCATGGAGATCGAGAATCTGAATCATGGAGAAATTTTTGACAAATACAGACCGAATGATGGAGGAATGAAATACGAAGTGTGATAAATTGCTAGCGATGATGACAGCAATGCAGGCTGGCATCGTGGATCTTCAGGACAGAAATTCCGGTCGTTCGAAGACTCGAAGAGTCGATCGCAGCATCGCGACTCTCATCACGGACACACGCGACACTCATATATTTCAGAGAGATCGCAAGGGTATAGGCTTCACAGAGGAACTGGAGACTGATCGAGGAAGACTAGGTCTTTTTCGCTACCTGACAAACAAGGTTTGTCGCCACCGCTCACAAGTTCGCAAAAGCAAATGGTATGTAAAAACGTAAAACCTTGCCAGGCACCATCGCTCTTCAGTCTGCTCACTCTTCTCACTCAAGCTGCTCTACACCAGCCAGTTCTTTCAGTTTTCTTCTATCATCTCAAGCAAACTCAGTTCTACCTCACACCACTAAACAAGATATGTGTTCTTGTTCTTGTTCATGTAGTCCTCTTCATCCAAATACTCATATAATAAAGTATATAATAAAGTACTAGTATATTACTATGTATATAATACCAGACATTGCTCATGCAGTGGGAGTGGTTAGCAGATTTATGTCAAATCCGGGAAGGGAGCATTGGGATGCAGTCAAGTGGTTACTACGCTACTTGAAGGGCACATCTAAGACATCATTATGTTTCAGCAAGAATGATCTTGTCTTAGAGGGCTTCGCCGATGCAGATTTGGGTGGTTGTCAAGATTCTGGTAAGAGCACTACTGGTTATGTGTTCACAATGGGAGGAACTGCTATTAGTTGGATGTCCAGGCTTCAGAGTAGTGTTGCTCTCTCAACCACCGAGGCAGAATATATGGCAATTGCAGAAGCAAGCAAAGAGTTTATATGGCTGAAGAACTTCCTATCGGAGTTGGGCTTTGAACAGAAAGATGGTGTTCTGTATTGTGACAACCAGAGTGCGATTCATCTCGCAAAAAATCCGATGTTTCACAGTAGAACTAAACATATCAAGATGAAGTATCATTTTATCAGGGAGCTGATAAATGATGGAGAGTTGTTACTGAAGAAGATTCTTGGTACAAAGAATCCTGCTGATATGTTTACTAAGGTGGTGACAACTGAGAAGTTGAAGCTTTGCATGGCTTCAACTGGCCTTCAAGATTAGTGTTGAGAAGGCAGGGGCAACTAGGTGGAGCTTGAGAAGGTATAGTATTTACAGAAGTACAAAGGAGTGAAGTGGAGTGCAGGTGATCATGTTTCGAAGCCTCCAAGTGGGAGATTGTTGGGGTGTAGGCTTCGGCCCATTTAGATCTGGGAGCCAAATAAGCAATGAGCAGCAGCTAGAAGTGCAGTTAGCCTTAGCTAAATGTGCAGCAGTCCTAGTTGGGCCTGTTTTTTTTTTAGTGGCAGTCAGGCCCAGAGTTTAATTAAAAGTTTACCCTAATTGTTTGCCTGTATATACTGCCTCCTGTACTTGTAAATGATTGAACTGTATTTTTCATCACCGCAATAAGAAAGAAAACCCTAGTTGCCCCCGTGGATTAGGTCAGTAACATTTACTGGCTGAACCACGTTAAATTCGTGTGCCGTTCTTCTGGTTTTTATTTCTTTCTACTATTGTTCAGATCTGTTCGTGAGAGCTAGAGATTCTAACCCTATCAGTTTATTCTTTATTAGTTAAATTCCTAGGAGTCCAAATTTTCCTATCATACTTTAAGCCAGTACTAAAAAACTATCTACTCTTCATGCTACTGATCTTTTAAGAATAAGGGATTATTAGGTATTAAGAATACCACTTCTGATTAATGATGTGATACCACTTTTAAAAAAATTTGAAGTTTCCTAATAGATATACCAATGCTTTTGAACGGGCTTTAGCTAGAACTATAATTTGAAAGGATCTGGATGTTGAGTTGTTGCCTGCATAGGTGGTTTTGGCTGCAATACTTCTATAGGTGACCATGTGAGCAAAAAGGTAACATGATTGGCCGGTTTTATGATAGTAGACCGTTCAAGGAAGAGGTTCGTGAGTACTATTACTGTATTTCAATGCATGAGAGAAAATGAACTGATGTTAGGAACAAGCTTGAAGAGATAGACCAGGAAACTAATGAACTTGCAAGCCTGCGGCAGAAAAGTGATGCTAACTTGCTAAGTTGGTTCATGGCAATTTTGAGCTAGAGTAGCTAGGGCAGGACATAGCAAATGTTGAAAGGCCAAAAAGTTCCAAAGCTTTTGAGAAAAATGAGAAATTGTTTGCCAAGGTGTTTGTCCAATTCTGAAGCGGTCAACTCAGTTGGTCGCCGACTCACTCTCTTTTGTGGGAGGTTCCGGATTTAATACTCAATGGAGTGACCCACCCTATCCAGGGATAGGGGTAGTAATATACTTTAAAATCTTTAAAATATACACTTTATACTTTATAGTATGTTAAAAACGTTTTTCTAATCTACTGTAAATTTGAAAGGAGATATATTAATCTATATGTACTACTCCGTACAATACTCCATATATAATGGCAGAAAATAACAAAAAATTGTAAGGAGACATTTCCAAAAAGCGTAATGCGAGAAAGTGTTCTCTTTCAAATAATGTGGATTAAAATTACATGCATTCATCGCCATGCTAGATAGTTATCTTTATCACTTCATACGTTTCAATGTGCCAAGTAATCAATAAATTATTAAACATGTCATTATTTATACACATGAACTAATAATGATTACAAACCATGTAGTGTAGTTATTATTTAATTTTTGTTCCGTGCATCGCACGGGTGAGAATCTAGTTCACACAAGCACTAGCGGGCCGATTTGATTCATGGTTCAAAGGAAGCCGATTCGAATGGCTGTCCGGGTTCAAACAGCTGGAAACCGTAGAGGAATGTAATAACCTTTTTGTTCAATGATCATTACTTGGGGTATTTTGTGAACGGACTGAAGGTACCGATTTGTGGATCCTTGCGGTTGCTGCGGCCAAACAACCTCGAGATAGCAATGAAATTGGCCAGAGACATTGAGGACAATCTGTCCTTTCAAGATGGAGACTGGGAAAGCCAACCCTACAAGACGGAAGTTCATTCAGGCAGTTTTTCGAGTCCATGTGGGTGCAACAACACAACTATGAGTGGTGGCGCATACAAGGATCGAGTGGCAACTATCAGAAAAATTGTGGGCAGCCCCCGAGGACAAATTCAGGGCTGTCCGGGCAGTCTACTGCATGCTCTAGGTTCACTCGACTTCCGCCGGAAGAGTTAGCAGAATTGCGAGCAAAAGGATTATGTGTTAGGTGTAAGAAACCATTTACACAGGGGCATGACTGTCCCTTTAAGCAGCCACGGGTAATGATAGCTGAGGAGGATGAGGAGTTGGACCTCCAACAGCATGAGTATTTTGAAAGAACTGGCCAGGAAGAGGTTAAGAAAGGCCAGGAGGTCCGGAAGGAGATAAGAGATATTTTCCTCTATTCTATGGCTTAAATCATCAGCCCTTGATCTACGAGATTTCAACCTTGAGGACAAAGTCATTTTAAAGGAGGATGGATTAATAGAGAGCCGGAAGAACATGGGGCAGGGATGGGCTTGAGCCCACCTTCCGTGGGTTGGCTTAGTTATTTGAATTACTTCCTTTAGTTATTTCCTTTTATTATGTTTCCTATTTTATTTTGTTGCCTAGTATTATTTAATTAGAACTTCTCTTAGAGTTAGAGGTTTGATATTTTATTTAGTTTCCTAGAATGGTATAATTAGGACTTCTATAAGAATTAGAGGTTTCCTATTCTATTTATTTTCATAGTATGATTTAATTAGGATTCATATTCTAATTAGACTTAGAGGGTTATTGAAACCCCTTGTATGGTCCATTCTTGATCATCTAGGAATAAAATTGGAGTTTAGCCTTTTTGCTATGGGCAACCGTATTAATCGTTGATCATCTCGGGACCTGTTTACCAAATTTATTTTTATTTTTCTGTTTGCATCAAGCTGACTTTGTATGACATGAAGCATAATCTGGGCTTGGATGAAGAGGGGCAGAAGTCCTCGTGGGTTTACTGAAGGCGGGATCGGGCTTGAGCTCAGATTCGTGGGCTAATTGCAGGCTGGAACTGAACTGCAAATGTTAAGAAATGTCATCAATTGGTTTTTCTACATAGTACCCACTCCTCCTACGCATAATTACGTCTTCCTTCTACGAATTTCACATCTCATCACTAATTAAGTCTTCCTTCGATGAATTTCACATCTCATCAATTGGTTTTTCCACATAGTAACACTCCTCCTACACATATTCTGTCACCAACGCCAAAATGAGAGGCTAAATTTTTTAATTTCATCTCATCAATTAATTGGTTTTTCCACTAACACCAATTAATGGACACATCTCATCGCTGGCAAAGAGATTACTGTGAACATTTATTGCAAGGTTCGAAATTGTGTATTGTGTAATCGTGACATTTTTTTGCTGTTGCGTTTTGCCTAAGCCTCATTGTGCAATGAGGCTAGGCGTGAGGCACAAATTTTATACAAGTATATATATATATATATATATATATATATATATATATATATATATATATTTATATACATATACATACTTTTTATATTAAAATTAAGATAATAATATAATATGTAGATTTAACTTTTTATATCAATTAATAAAACGATTAAAGAATTTTTATATCAACTCAAATTAAGAGTAAAGAAGCACCTATGATTAAAGAATAATATCAATTAACTAAAATTAAGATTAAAGAACTAAACGAAGAACTTGTGATTAATATTTAATAAATAATATCAATGAAGTAAATTATCAAAACGATGGACAAAGTATTACCAATAAAAATTGAAGTAAAAACATAGAAGCACCTGGAATTCTGGAGGTCAAATGTAGTATTACTAACTGATGTAGTATTAAGAAGCACCTGGAATTCTGGAACAATCGGCAACTAGTGTATGAAGACGATTAACGCAATGTTAAGCAACTAAGCGAACAACCAAGGGAATAGCGCAAGTAGGGAACACTGTCGCGCTGAAAAAAGCAAGCCGATACTTAAACTATAAAGGCGACCGCCTCACCATGCCTTGAGGCGTATTCCAGACCGCCGGCTTTAGCCATGCAATAATCCGCCTATCTCTACAAAATTGCCGAGGCGAGCCTCATTGCACAATTTAAAACGATGATTTATTGACACCACAAATAGATTCTTTCATGTAACGAATGCTACTTCCTAAGGGAGAGAACTCACAAGTCACAACCATAGTTGTCATGGCACATGGCGACATACATGGTGCACAGTTATTTTTATATGGCGATGGCGCAAATATGGCGTCGCCACGTGACAAAAATAAAAATAAAAAACTTAAAAAAGAATTATAAACACTATAATTGTATTCCAACCACCAAAATATGATAAAGCAAGTTGAATAACAACATTCTAACCAAAACATGTGACATTCAAATAGTTTAAAGTAGTTCCAAAAAATATAATAATTTAAAAAAAAGTTCCATATCTTTCAAAATATATTAGCTTGTTTTTGTTTGACGATTCTTCCATAATCATTATCAATTGTCACACTCCTCAGCCCTCATCATCATCTTGGTCTGATAGCAATGGAACACCATCTTCATTCATTTAATTTATATATATATATATATATATATATATATATATATATATATATATATATATATACTGTATATAACTTAGAATTGAAACTCATAATTACTAAAAAAATTGCAAAAGAAGCTTACAATTAATAATTGAAAACAAGGTTTACTAATGAAATTAAAATTAAAAAACTTATCAAAACAAAAAGTGAAGTATATCACAGAAAGTTATTTTAAAATAGAAGTATCACAGTTAAAACAACAAAATAACAAGCTAAAAACAACAAAACCATAAACACAACTTAATTAATTAAAATTAAAAAAATGAAAAACTGAAGACAAAGATCGAGGACCAGTCTGCAACTTCCTCTGCTGCTTCCGCGAGGGACTGAGGGAGGGCGACTCTGTGAGTCCGTCTTATTCGTTTGATTCGTTCCTGCGTGCGAGATGGGTATACGACTTTGACCAACGAATCGTCCGTAAGGTAGATTAATCTGGGCTTAGCTTTTAATTTTAAGCCTGAAGCCTAAATTAAATTAGCTTCTTAAAAAAATGAAGGCCCAAGTCTATTTTATCTTGTTCTGGGCCTGCCAAAGCGCTTCAACTTGCGAATAAGGCAAGGATTTCTTCGCCCAACGCCATGCCAATGGCGCCCAAATGGCGAAGGCGCAAGAACGGCGTCGCCTCGTGTATCCTCAACGCCACAGCCTATTTCATGGCGCAGAGGGCCTAAGCGCGCCTCATGGTGCATGGCGCACGCGCCATATTGCGCCATCAACAACCAAGGTCACAAGTCACAACAGCATGTGTTATGCCAAACACTTTACCAACTTTACAATTTATATTCATCTTACACTTGCCTATGATAATCTTCCCAGAGATTGACGTCTCCATAACCCGATAGAAAAATACCAAATATGTAAGCACTTATAAGATACTAATTTAGGTCAGAAATTTCTAACATTTACTAGTAACGGGACAGTCGGATTGCAAGAAGGAACTACCTCAGTAAGCACAGCCACAACCTTGTGGGGCAGCAAAAGTGATCAGTGAGATACTGGCAGAACCAGCAATCGCTTAAAAGGTAATATTAATAAACTCATAATCCACACATAAGGAATTCAAATCCACTTATACCCCATTGGCACCACTGATAGATGCTCACAGTCAAAGAGTGCGAGGATTAAAGATCTAGAGAGCTGAGGTGAAAACAATACCTAAAGACATGCAGCTCCAGCAAAATAATGGAAACGAGCCCCAGTGATATTGAGCTTCTGTTGGTTCTTGCGGTTAATGCTTAAGAATGTCATTTTGATCGGCTCACCCGGAGATGGGATTGGTGGCACTTGAGCAGTGAGTACCTCAAGTGAAAAGGTTGATATAAGAAGATAAAAGTCCTGTGTGTTTTCGTCCTGAGCTGACAGGAGGCCCAAGTAGTCACCTTTCCCCGTCTCAACAAATTGGAAGGACATATATTCCCTATCCAATCCTTCCAAGTTGAAGATGGCGTCCACATCCTGATAACAGGAGCATCCTTTTCCTTGCGTGAAAAGTGCAGCTCGAAAGTGGGATCCAAAAACGACATACGTTTCATCATCTAAACCAGGAGCTGAGACAGCTCTCAGTGGTGAGCCAATAGGATTATGTCTCCCCCAAAAAAAAGGGTCATCCTTCGACCATTCCTCGGTCTTTAAATTAAAAACATAAACACCCCGTGGTTTACCTCTCACGTCCAAGTAGAGATTCTCCCCTACTCGAAAGAAGCGGAGCAAGGCGTACCCTCCCTCAGACAAGGCACCATGAAAAAAAGGTATACCTGATTTCACAGCCCAGCCTTTTTCTGGAAAAGCAGAATCGAAAACTTCAAAAACTTTAGACGTATATCTGCCACTCGGCTTGTCGTATTGGAAATCAGGGCCCATGTGCAGTGCAAATATCTTGCTTCCAAACTTTTGGACAATAGCAGTTCCCTTCCCGTCGTTCATCTCTGGCACGACGCTCGAAGGAACTAGGGACACGGAATTATTGGAATCCTGTTTCACCTCATAGATTTCTCTGGGGGCAACGTCGAACTCTTTGCCGCCCAGCAAGAACATCTTGGACTCCAATTCAAACATACCCATGAGGTGATACGGTAGCTTCATCACCGAACAATTTGATTGGATGCCATTTCCGATCTTTATCACAAAGAGATGGTTTTCCGATTGAACAAACAGAGTCCTCTCCGGGCGGCTGGCCTTCTGTATGTTCGTGCTTTCGCCTTCTCTCGCCCCGCTTGTTTCATGTTTCGTCATTCCAAAAAACGCCGCAGTAGGCCGATCGTTTAGCTCGCGTTAGGTGGTTTGGAATCTGCTACCTTCTGATTCAAGGCTCTAGGGCCAATTTTATTCTCAGGTAAAGAAAAGAAGTACACCTAAGGAGCAGTCGTAATCAACTAGCAATATTAGCCACATTTGACTCCTGAGTCCCCGGTTTTCCGGTTTTTCCACAACTCTTACAGGAAATCATTTTTAGGGAGTGTTTGCGATTGCTTGTACTTTTTAAAAGTGATTTTTTTAAGAGATTATTGCAAAAGTGATTTGTAGTAAAAGTTGATAGTGTTTGGGAATAGAAGTGATTAAAGTGGAAAAGTTAAAGTTGGAGTGTTTGATAAAAAAGTGATTTTTGATGTATTAATTTAGTGAAAGACAAAAACACCCTTATACTCATTTAACATATGCCGTACGAAGTATTAATTCAACGGAAATTATCCTAAATAGGACTAAAAAGTTCCTAAAAAGCACAAATAGGACTACTATTTTTAAAATTCCCTAAATAGGACTAAACATTGATTTTCTACCCTAAATACCCCTAAGAGTATTAATTCATAACGAAATGCTTTAATTCATAATAAAATCACAAAAAAAGTAAACAAATATTTAAAAAACGTAAAAAAATTAAAAAAAAAATTATAAAACATTTATAAAATAAAAAATTTAATTTTTTATTTTTTTAATTTTTTTAAAAAAATAATAAAAAATAGTAAAAACCCATAAAAAATGAAAAAAATTATGGATACCTTTCTCACCGCCTCCCGCCGCCTCCCAGCACCACCACCTTCGATTGGTGAAATTTCTTCCACTTTTGGTAAAAAAATGCCATATTTTTCTGAAAATGCCAAAAAGATGGCATAATTACTCTTCAATATGCCAACATTTTCATTGATTATGCCATCATTATGGCATTATTTAAAATGTTGGCATATATTTGTCCGGTGATGGGAGATGGTGGTGTTGGGGGTGGCAGGGGTGGTAATGTGTTTTTTTTAATTTTATGGTTTTTTTTTATTTTTTTTTTTATTTTTTTTAAAAAAAATATTTTTTTTATTTTTTTAACAAATATTTTTATTAATTTTCTATTATTTTTTTACGATTTTTAGTATTTTTTTCGATTTTTATTAATTTTTTTATGATTTTATTATTAATTAAAACATTTCACAAGTTACAAGGGTATATTTGTCCAAACACACATAAATAGTCCTATTAAGGGAATTTAAAAAATGTAGTCCTATTTGTGCAATTTTTCCACTTTTTAGTCCTATTTAGGGAATTCACTCTTAATTCAAAGTTGCACTAATGGGGTGAAAATGACGATGTGGTGGGTTTGGCCTTTCCGGCCATGACAGGAACGAAGCTGGGAGTTATCACCTTGATGGATTTGCGATACGAATGGAGATTTGGGTGGATTGGGCATCTCCAGGCTCCGCCCAGAGTGTTTAGGAAGTGACGAAGGACGGATAATGGTGGTGTGGGTGAGTTTGACAATTCCGGCAATGACGATGATGAACTAAGGAGCGATAAATCCGGCCGGATTTGATGGCGACGGTGAAGCTATTTCTCTCGCCGATCTCTGCTCTCTTCTGCCATGCCAAAGTATTTCATATGCATATACTACGTATATAATACTCGTGTAAATAAGAGACGATGCGACAGAAGCAGAAGGGAGTAAGGGTATTCTGGGTGCACTTCAATATATTTAGCATTATAACCATCCCCAAAGTTCAAACTATTTACAAAAAAAACCAAAAAGCAGTTAAAAGCACCTCCAACCCAACTTCCAGCTTTTAACTTTAAAGCACTTTTTTTAATCAAAATCTGGGATTACCAAACACCTCTTTTAGCTTTTTTTAATCTAAAAGCCAAAAAGCACTTAATTTAAGCAATGACAAACACACCTTTAGTGTCATTCATGGTCTATTTGCAACCGTTTCTGCTTTTAAAAAAGTTCTTTTTTAAATGAAATGGAGAGAAGTGATTAAATAAAAGTTGATAGTGTTTGAGAAAAAAGTGATTTTGATAAGTAAAAGTTGGTAGTGTTTGGTAAAATAAGTGCTTTTTGTGTAATGGAAAAAGTAAAAGCATTTTTGACACGAAAACCGAGAAAAATAAAAGTGGTAATGTTTGGTAAAATAAGTGCTTTTTTAAAGCAAAAAGCTGAGAAGTGCTTTTTTTAAATGAGTTGCAAACCAACCCTCAGACTGATAGGGATACCGCATATAGTTCCGCTTTCTTCTTCATTAAAAATATTATCAATTCTCTCCACGTTCCCCGTAATATCTCTCTACACCGCCATATTCATATCAGCTATCCCAGCTGATCAGGGAGATTTTACCTTCCCATCCCCCTAACCCGGCAACCATGCATCTACCCAAACTTGTATCTCTCTCCCATTACCTGCTCGCCGTATGATAGTTTCAAAACTACTCCCTCCCATTACCCCCCTCCCATTACCTCAGGTTTCAAAATACTCCTCCAAACATATCACGGGTTACTCCCAAAGGTTGCCTTCAAAAGGTCGAAATCCAGAAAATATCCAACTTTTAGAACTCGGATCATCAAGCTATACGGGTCCATAATAATTCTCCAACATTGATTAGCCAACATAGCTAGATTAAATTCCCTCATTTTCCTGAATCCTAGTCCCCCCATACCTTACGGCTTACATAGCAATTCACATCTCCTCCATCGTATTCCTCTTTGTTCACATCTTGTCCCCTTCCACCAGAAGTCATTCGTAATTTTTTCCACGTCATCACATAAGTCTCGTGGTAATAGGAACCCATACATATAGCATATGTAGGCATGACTTGTACCACATTACGTAAAAGGATGGCTCTACCCGCTCTAGATAAAAATCGATTATTCCACCATTTTATTACAGAATTGGCAAACCCAAATATTTTTGTTGACTTCCCTCTTGAAGTACACCGAAAAAAGTGCAACAGTGAATACGAAAAGACTCGACCACATTTTGGCTGAAAGTAACCGATGATTTTTTAAAAATTAATTTCCTGGGGTGTTGCTCCGCGCACCCACTATATTACTTGACGTAACCCTCAATAGACAGATTTTACCTTCCATAACCCACTATATTACCAACGTAGTAGAATTCCGGAGCTTCACAAACCACCCACTAAATATGATTTGGTCTGATCTGGGATCGAAAATATCTCAAATAAAAACATCCTGAATATTGTCATATCGTAGTTAGATGATAGAAAAAATAAAGACAATATTATTGAATATAAAGGTGAATAATATATATATATATATATATATATATATATATGATCTTCAAAATAGTAACAAATATTGTATACGACAAATTTAATGTAACACATTAAAATGAAGAACTATGATACATAAAATGGGCCAGATGAATACTCCCTCCGTCCCCCTAAGTTTGGGACGGAGGGGTGTGGTGTGGTTTTTAAGAAAAAGTGGAATTGTGTGGTTGATAATGAATTGATAAAGTGTAGATAAAGTAACAATGATTTCTAACCACTCAAATGTTATCAAATATGGTATGGGACAAACTTAGTGGGACAGACGAAAAAGGTAAAACGGGACAAACTTAGGGGGACAGAGGGAGTACTTCATAAGTTTGAAAATCAAGAGTATTATTTTTAGATAATTTTCAGATTCATCCTCGATCCATTTTGTAAGAAGATAATTTTTAGATTCATTCTCCATTGTAATAGGTTCCAAATATTTATATAGTACTATCTCCGTCGGCCGTTGCACTGATATTGGGACGGAAGAGGGTGTCATAGTTAAGAGAAGTGAGTTTATGTGATTGATATTAATTGATAAAGTAATTTTAAAGTAAAAATGATTTAGAGCTACACAATCTTTATCAAATTGAATATTTGACAACTTTAATGGAATTTTTTGAAAAGATAAAATGAGACAATATTTACAGGATTTGAGATTTAGGAATTTGGGTATATTTCAAAACACCTACCGTGTTTTTTAGAAATATGTTACACAAAATTTTAGATATATTAAAACCTATTTTTATACTCGTATTAAAGAAGCAAAGCAGGCCACTAAAAAATCAATGGAGATGCTTCGCAATTACATATTCCGCATTTCCGCATACGAATGATTTTAGCAAGGAAAGGTTGGTGATGCGCCCAGCACCATTAGAAGTGGGGAATTGTGTGACTAAGATTATCCGCAATGTAAGGGTTTTGAAATCTAAATTTGAGGTTTTTACCCCAAATTGAGCTGCACCCCAAACCAAAATGAGTATAGCAAGGTCTTGTAGTGGGATTGGGGAAACCCATTGCGTGGGGATATAGCCGCAAGATTGACTCTTGGAGAGAGAAAAATAGTTTCCTCCATGTGTCAACTGTCAAGCAAATAAAAAAATGTGAGTTCCTTGGAAGATAAAAATCCCAATTTTTTGAAAAATGGTATAACTTTTTTTATTAATGTTTTAATTTTTATAAATAATATGTCAAAATTTATAAATTTTTATGATCTTTCATATGACACCAATATAAAAAAATGATCTTTCATAACTTCTAATTCACTTTCTTTGTTGTTATTTTTCTTTTAAAACTTATTAAATATTATTTATAATCAATTCCTATGAATTTAATATGTGAACCTAATGCAAAATAGAATAGTACTTTTAAAAATGCATTGATATGACATTTTGAAAATGAGTATAAGATGAGTGCCAGATGAGCATAGTAACTTACAAAATGCGCGTTGATTGAAGATCGTAAGATTTGTTAGTTGAATATCACGACATTTTCATTGAGCATCAAACCTCCACTATTGAGATCAATGAGCATTAATGAATTTTTAATGAGCACTAGACCTATATAAATGAGCATATGTAACTTACAAGAGGATCTTTGATATGAAAATTGTAAGTTTTGTTCGTTGAACATCAAGACATTTTCAGTGAGCATCGAACCTCCGTTATTGAGTATTAGAATCGTGCAATTGAGTATCATGATTTGTGGTCTCATTTCTATAATTAAATTCTATGTGAATCTAATGTAATATGAGACTTTTGAAATATGCATTTGATGTGACATTTTAAAAATGAGCATAAATGAGTATCAGTTGACCATACAAAACTTACAAAATGAACAAAAAATTGAGTTTTTTAGTTGGCATCATGGTATTTTAGTTGGCATCAAGGTATTTTCATTGAACATTAAGGAGGCGTTTACTTCACCGGTTATTAAACAGTGCTTATTAAGACCAGTGTTAATAAGCGGTGCATAAAATAAACAATGTTGTAAGACTGTGTTTACTTCAAACGGTTTAAAACACCGCTTAACATTAAAATGTCCAAAATAACCCTATACATATATACACACACAAACATTCATGAACACAAGTATATAATATAAATGTGTACCCATACCCGCTAACCCCTTACCCACCCTACCTTACTCTGACCCCACCTACCCCCTACCCCTACCCTACCTACCCGACCCTACCCCTACCCGATCCCACCCTACCGCGACCCTACCCCCAACCCCATAGGCCCCTACCCCCATACCCCCTTACCGCATCGACCCCACCCTGACCCCACCTTACCCTACCTTACCCCAACCCCGCCCCTACCCCTACCCTACCTTACCCCGATTACCACTACCCTACCCAATCCCACCCTACCCTACCCGACCCCACTCTGCCGCAACCCTACCCCCGACCCCACCGCACCTACTCTGCCCCTAGCGCCTTTATCACATTGGCCCCACCCCGACCCCACCACCCCAACCCCACCACCCTAGGTATAGGGTGGGGGTAAAGGGTGGGGTCGGGGTATATGGTGGGATGGGGTAGGTGGGGTAAGAGTATGGTGGGGTGACTGCGGTCAGGTAGTGGTAGGGTGGGTCGGGTAGGTAAGGTAGGGGTGGGGTTGGGTAGGTGGGGTAGTGGTAGGGTGGGTTCGGGTAGGTAGGGTGGGGTTCAGGCGGGGTATGAGGTAGGGTCAGGGTAGGGGTAGGGTGAGGTCGGATAGGGTAGGGGTAGGGTGGGGTTGGGTAGGTGGGTAAGGGGTGGGGTAGGTTTGTGGTCTGGTAGGTAGGGTAGGGGTGGGGTCTGGTAGGTAGGGTAGTGGTAGGGTGGGGTCGGGTAGGGGTAAGGTGGGGTCAGGTAGGTGGGGTAAGGGTAGGGTGGGGGGTCGGTTAGGTAGGGTAGGGGTGGGGTAGGTAAGGTAGGGGGTAGGGGTGGGGTAAGGGTAAGGGTAGGGTGGGGTCGGGATAGAAGGTGTGGGGTAGGGGTGGGGTAGGTGGGGTTGGGGTCAAGGTGGGGTCGGTAGGTAGGTGGGTCAGGGGTAACAATAGGGTAAGGGCAAGGGGTAAATTCGGAAACTGAAAAAGCTTAAAGTGCCGCTTAATTAATACATGGGGGTGTGGTAGGCTTAGTAAGCGGCACTTTAAGCACCTATTTCGGTTAGTAAGCGGCTTTTTAAGCAGCGTGCGTGTTTACTTCACCTGTCTTACTAACCTAACTGTGACTTTAGCAGCGAAGTAAACGCCTCCTAAGTCTCTTATATTGAGTACTAGCGTCATTCTAGAGGGGATGATATGAGGCCTAAAATTACTGACTCTTGTATATGGAGAAGACTATGTGGAGTTCATGACCTTGCAACTGAGCTGTGCTCATATAGTCCTCAAGGGTTGCTTCAATGGGATCCTGGTATTCAGGGAAACTTTTCTTCAGCTTCTGCCTACAAAGAAGTCAGAGCTACCAAATCAACAACTTTCACTGATAGACATATATGGCACAAGAATCAAACATTGCAGATTAAATTATTTCTTTGGAAACTACTTAACTATTTTCTGCCCATTTGTGACAACCTCAAAAGATTTCAGATTACTTTGGAGCCCTCTAGATGTCCTTTGTGTAAACAGAGCTGTGAAAATACTGACCATGTTTTCTTTGGTTGTGGATACACAAAGCAAATATGGAAATATTTCATGGATATATTTGGGCTTAAAATGCCAGAAAATGCACTAATTAGACAAGTACTGTTAACTTGGTGGATTGAAGCAGGTTCAAAGACAATGGCAGATGTATTAATGCATAATCTGCCGGGGATCATTACCTGGCACATATGGCGAGTTTACGCATCCCACATTTGGGGCTCAGAATCTATACCTTCCCCTGACCAAGTCATCTTTCAAATCAAGCTTTACACTCAGAACTTGTTTTAGCCAAATTTGGACAACCTAAAACTAATTAGAATGGAAATTGTATATTGATTGGGTCTCGTACAAGAAAGGTAAAGAAGATGACAAGAACAACAAGAAAGATGCTAAGAGAGCACAATAGAGTGCAAATATGAGTATTATTCGAGTCAGTGTGTCTTCTGAATACATTGGAGCTGTGTGCCTGTGTTCTATTTATAAAAGAGGTATTTAATGCACTTTTGTCCGTTGTTGACTGTTTCGACCGTTACGACTACATGTTCGACCGTTACGACGACATCAATATCGTCATTATTGCATCATCAATTCTGGCCGGCCCTTTGAGTAACCTATGTCATAATTACAATAATTACCCTAATTATATGCATAAAACTGCTCAGATTCATTAGCTAGCATTACTCCTAATAAATGCGTCATTAATTGCCACGGTCAAGCCTTTTTGAATGTCGTCCAATTCTTGTACCAACAATAGCCCCTTTTCGAGAAGTTGAGGCGTATCATGCATATGTCAGCAACAACTTGTCGAAAATTTGAAAGTACAATTCGCATCTTGGTTCATTGCATCGTGACATGTTGCTCAACTTGTCTGACGAACTACTTCCGTCTTTCTTTTAAGTAACCTCCGATTAGATCTGTCCCCTTGACTGAAATAATGAAGTCTGCAAGCTCGAATTTTTTCATTTCCCCTTCAACGTTGTGTTGACGACTAGATGACAGAAATTTGCAACATCTCTCACGTCGGTGTGACACTTCCATTGGCAACGGGAGCATCATCTGTTGTTAAAGATGACGAGTTGGGTTGTGTGAACATAGTCCATAACCTGCAAAACTTTGAATAACCTTTCGTTTGTAATTCTAGCAATATTGTCGACATGAGTGTTTGTGATTTGTGTCGATGTCGTTCGTAGTGTCTCTTATGTTTTGGAGCTTGTGTTGTCATGCTCTTGGAGCACATGCTTCTATTGTGTATTTCTGTAGTTTTGGTGTACCGCTGTTATGTTGATGTCGTGTAATTGTTTCTGATGTTGACAATGCATTTGACGTTTACTCTGCATGTTGTTTTGGTGTCGCACAATCATGTTTGACGTCGACGTTGTTTTTTATGTTCGCTCTGTTCGTTGTTTTGTGTTTGTCTGACTTTGATGTTGTCGGCATCTGTGATGTATGATCTGTATGTTGTTTTGTGTTTGTCTGACCTTGATGTTGTCAGCATTTGTGATGTATGATCTGTATGTTGTTTTGTGTTTGTCTGACCTTGATGTTGTCAGCATTTGTATAAATACTCCGTAGTTTATATTATGTACAAAATTAGTTCATACTCCCTTCGTCCCGGAAAATTGTTCCCACATTGACTTGGAACGGAGTTTAAGAAAGTGGGAATAAAGTGGAAATGTATGGTTGCGGGTGAGTAAGACAATTAGCCACAAAAAACTTTCCAAAAGGGCAAAGTGGAACAGTTTTTTTGGACGGCCCAAAAAGGAAAATCGGGAACAATTTTCCGGGACGGAGGGAAACTATATATTGATGTATTTAGATCTTTCCAACAAGAAATACCGTAGTAATAATAAATAAAAAGAACAATGTAAAACCAACTTGCTTAAGGCTTCAAGACAAAAGAAATAAAACAAAAATAAACTACATGTAATAGGAATCGAACACTAGACATATCACGTGCATGAATCTTAAACGTACAGCTACATCCGCTCTACCATTAGCACATTTTAGCAACTACTTCGTACTTAATGTATAAGAACCCTTTATTTAGAACAAAATATATGTGTGAATTTAAATTGGATATTATATAAAAGGGTTGGGTGGGGGTTGAGTGGGGGCAGCTGCCCCCCCTGCCCCCACCCTGGATACGCCCCTGGTTGCCAAAGAAGATGTTTTTTCAAAAGTGTTCCTGAAATAAAACATATTTATAATATATGATTAAAGTTATTACGTACAAGTATAGTGTCATGGTCGATCTGCACTAATCCACTATAGCCACTACACTAAATATGTCACATTTTTATAGATAACATTTATTTTTATTGATTTATATGTAATTATTTTCTTTCCATTATTTGCAATGAAGTCAAAGATTCATTACTTTTTAGCCTGAGAATATGATGAAATAAAGTAAAATGACTCACTAAATTGTTTCGCTTTTTTGTTATGAAGTAACAATCAGTCCATGGAACTTTGGACGCGAATTTCATTATGGTCATCCGGAAACAGTCTCTTTGTGCTTTAGTACATGGGTAAGATTGCGTATATCCAACCCCCTTACCCCACCGACCACCGTAGGTGGGAGCCTTCGCGGCAATGGGGTAAATGAAAATGATGATGATGATGATGATGATGATGAAAATGATATATATGTAATTATTATTTTAATTTCTTCGCTGTGGTTAAATCTCATCTTGTCTATTCCAATTTATTAGTATATGTATATTTAGGTCGGGTCTTATTATTGCGGTATATAGTTTGTTTAAATCTAGTTAGCCAAGTTTGTTTAGTCATGATACACCATGGTTTATTTGCAATTAACTTTAATTTATAAGGTGCAAGATTGATGAGTAATTTGATGTAACATTATTTAATCTAACTGGGTCTATACAGTGGCGGAGCCAGAAATACGGTTTAGGGGGGTCGAGAATCAACTTTATACAAAATGAAAACGGTGGATCGTTTCCAAACAATGTCCGAGTTGAATATTTTATATGTAGTTTAGATAAATAGGCACTCGTAACAATAAAAGAGACTGTTTTTGCTCTATTTTTGAGTCATGTCACGTAAGTAATGAGTTAATTATACGCTATTTTTAAAATTTGGGAGAAAAATCAATATTACTCATCAAATTTTGCTGATTTTACGTTTAGATAGTGCTGATTTTGCAGAAATCATAACTTTTTACTCGTAATGAGTTACGGGGGCCATAATATATCAAATCGAAGATATTTCAGAGCTCTATGCTCTCAAACTTTCAGCGGGGTCGACTGACCCCCTGCCCCCCTGGCTCCGCCCCTGGGTCTATATCACTATATGTATTCTCTATAGACTATAGTCTTATTTATTTAATTAAATAAGTCTAGCTAGTTTCAAACTTTCAATACACTAAAACAATCCATGAAAGCACGATAGTTCATTTAAAAAATAATCGAATACTCTGTAGAATATACTTTTTAATTACTTTAATTAAGGCGTTAATTAGCTATTTTCATACTTCGTATTATATTTTGTACGATAAGATGACTAGGTTTTTAGAATAAGTCAAATAACTAGCTATTCTCATATATTAGGAGTACAAATAAAGTGGTTCTCCCAAATATGAGTATTATTGATTTTTTTAGCATTTTCCTAAATTTTAGTGTAAGTTCAACATGTAAATAGAAAAGGTATGCTTTTATTATTTTCAAACCCAAATTCTCATTTGAAAATAATGGGGGTGTTTGGATCTGATTCTCAAAACTGATTCTGCTTCTTCAGGGAGTAGAATCAAAAGCTGGAGTGTTTGGGTGAAATTTCAGAAGTGCTTCTGGAGCTTTAATTTACTCTCAGAATCAGTTTTTTTAGAAGCTGAGAGGTACCAGCTTCTGAAAACTGATTATGATTCTGCTTCTAAAAAGAATCAGAAGTAGCATCAATTCCAAACACCCCCAATATCTAATATCAATATCTAGCTAGCTACCAGTCTAGGTTTCTTTTTCGCCCTATATTATGTGAAATCCCAAAACTAGATCACTTTATTTTGAATAAAGTATTTCAATTCATTGTTTTCTTTCATTTGGAATTTAATATATAGCTTTTAATTTTAATTTATTTAAATATAGATGGCTAGTTATTAAATTAGGAATGAGGATTTTAAAATATATACTTAAAATTTTATTGTATAAAGTGTATATACTTTTTAAGTTTGAATTGGACAAGAGTATGGCAAAGATTTGTACTTTTGTAGCCTTGAACCCTTATTTCTAAGCGGGTTTGAGCTCACGATAACTGTAATTCCAAACGTCTCATGGTCTCAAACTGTGTGCACTCTAGCTAAGTGATTTGAGTTCAATATACGTAGTATGAAATTCCGTTGATTATAATGATAACAAGTCCACCAAAGTCAAAATTGACTTGTTTAAAGCAAAAGAAATCAAAATTAACGCAAAATTGATTATAGATTTATAATGAACAGAGTTGTGTAGATCTAAATCTCCATACCATAGACTCACCATAGGCCAAACCTACGAAGGAAAAGTGAGTCTCGACATGCATTTAGTTGCCTCTTTTGACACATTATTTGAGTACTTGGGAGTTTGAAGGGAAGTTGAGTACCCCGAAGATTTTGAAGGATAGTCATCAGAAGGGAAGTTGCGGGAAATGGAGTGAAAATCCTCTTCTTGTTTGAGAGCAACAAATTTAAAAAGATAGATTAGAAGTTATGGATGAGTTATAATTAAAAATCATCATACAAATAGTTGAATTTATATATATTTAAAATTGAGTTAGAGTTACCATTTACTGATTTACCTAATTATCCTTGAAAATCCTCCTATTTGGAAGAACTTGAAAATTGAGCAAACATTTGAAATGTTTGAAACACCATACATGAAAGGTAGGGTCATAAACATTTGCAACCTTCCCCTCCCCTTCAATACTCAACTCCCAAACATACCCTTAATTAGTGAATCATGAAGATTTATTTAGCCTTTCATGATCCAATAAATAAGTATGTGACAAATACTGAATGCATGTACACATACAAATAATGTGCAAACTGCAAACCTGTGTATGAAAACATTCAATTAGAGCATCCGGATACTAGTCTAGTCTAAATAAAATATGCCAATTGTCAAAAATTTAAAAGGTCGTCTAATGTACTCAACAAAAAATGGAATGATGACTAGACATTAAAATGCCTTAAAAGCTTCCAATGCATTTAGTAAGTCTTATGAAGTGCATCCTAGAATAGACTAGTACAGTATGCATTGCTGATGCTCTTATATGTTCATGGTAAGACATTTGATTTTTTATTTAAATTTTTATTTTATTTTAGAACTAGTTGCCGAGTTTCAATATTTTTATTGTGTAGCTTATAGAGATACAAACACAATTAGCACTACTATGCAGTAATTTAATTAGTATTTCTATATATTAGAAAAAATATAGAAAAACTTAAGTACTCTGTATTAATTAGTATACACAACAAATTAACTTAAACATGAGATGATGAGATGGAAGAAATATATATTTCACAGGAATCTAATCCAGTCTACAAAAGCTATAAGAGGATAAATATTCAAATACCACAGAAATGGTTTGGAGGAGGTGTTTCAGCTGGTTTGCCTAAGCAAATACCCATATCGATCAGCAGGCCGGGAAGCTGGCTAGAGCTTTAATTTGTGAGAAGCTGGCTAATAATTTGCATTCCAATTTATAATTTGGAGTATAATTTATAGAGATGCATGGTCCAGCAAGGCCAGTAACCCACATTAACAGGTAACGCGTTTTTATGAATGGTCAAACTCTACTTTTACCTCTCAAAAAAAGACTATTTTTACCAAAAAATAAACTTAGTCAAAGCAATCTTCTTGAGACTGTTTTTTAGCAAAAAGTACTTCCTTCAAGAAATACTCCCCTGTCCCCGAAAGAAGATCTCACTTTCCTTATTTGAATATTCCTAATTTAAGTTCTCATTTCCTTTAATGGAAAGTTATCTATATCAAAACAGTGCAAAACAGTGTCAAGCAGTGCCAAATTATGTCGAAACAGTGTAAAAACAGTAAAATTTACCCCTGGTAAGTTTACTTGTATAAAAGTGTGTGAAAGTCAAATGAAGAACTTCTTTCGTGGACGGAGGGAGTATTATTTTCTTGCTGTGGGAGTGGTCAATGAAAAAATGCAGGACGTCCAATACTACATACTCCCCCCATCCCCTTTTAAATGTTTCGGAAGGGGGTGACACGAGTTTTAAGAAAAATGGGTTTGTGTAGTTGATATTAATTGATAAAGTAAGAATAAAGTAAGAATAAAGTAAGAATGATTTTGGGCCACACGAACTTTACCAAATAAGGTAAGAGACAATTAAATAGGGACATCCTAATATGATAAAACAGGACATTTAAAAGGAAACGGAGGTAGTATAAATTTCTATAATACAATTCTAGGTGTCATACTGTGTTATTGAATTGAAAACGGCACATAAATTTTTTTTGATCATCAATGGCATATAATTTTTGAAAAACTAAAGAAATTATCAGAGAACTTATTAATTGTTAATGTGTATGAAATTCATTTCTACTGGAGATGTACTGATGATAAAGGAAAAACATCCCGGCCGGCCGGGTGACTTCCGGCCAGATACCAGATGCTTCAAGATCCATATCTGCAGGATAGGAGGTCGAGAATTCGGAAATGGCAGCTCCTTAGTTCTACAATTTGGGATTATCTATAATTCTTCCAGATATTGGCCATATCTATGCTTTTGAATCGTTGGTGTGAGTAATTATATGTGTCTGAGATTATTTAATTGGGGATGGGGGCATTACAATTTGTATTCCAGTTTAGTGATTACGAGTAGAATTTACAGAATTGGTACCACTAACCCAAATTAACCACCTTCTGAATTGGTACCACGTTTTCATGAACTGTGATTTTAGCAAAATGCACCTTCTCGGCGTTGGAGTGGTAAATGGCTAAATGCATTAATGCAGTAAGTAAGACTCCATCTCTTATTACTTTCTCCATTTTCTATTTTCTGGTAATTGTTATCCATGATGTCCAGAAAGGAAGTAGTAGGTTGCTTTAGTTGAAAGAAAGCGACAACTTTTCCTTAATTAAAAACACTCCATGTGAAGATAGCTCCTTTTTGAGGTTTGACCGGGGGAAAACGATTTCTTTCTCTAAGAATATACGGAGTATAAAACTGAAATTTACATATTAGGAAATTACTCTGAAAGTTCCCATAAATTGATTTTGAATGTGGTAAAATTTGATACTCCATAAATAATACGGAGTATTATAAAGGGATTATTCCCTAAATAGGACTAAATGATAGCTAAATTGCATGAATGGGAGCAAAAATTTTATTTTCTTCAAATAGGAGCAATTAATCTCTGCATTCCAAATTTACCCTTATCATTCTCACGCTCCATACACATGTTTAGAAATAAAGGATTCGGTGATGGTGAGAAGGAAACGATGGCAGATTTTCCACCGCCTATCTCATGTCCCAGCACTGCCATTGTTCATGAACAAAATAAGATGATAGAATGCCTTTTTTTCTAAAAATGCCACTTTGCATTAAAAAAAATGTCATATTAATGGCATTTTCAAAATAAAAGATGGCATTTTAAAGAGTAATAATGCCATTTTTATGACATTTTTGAAACCGAATTTCACATTTTTTTAAAACCAAATTTGAGGAAGAAGAACTAGAGTCATTACTCATTAGAACGAGAATACAAAAACTGATAATGATTGCAAATCGATTAGAACATGAGAATGAATTCAGAAACAAACAAAAAAAGAAGAGAAGTTAATAGATCGATTGCAGATAGAGGAAGAACTCAAGGGCTTGGTGCCTCCGCCATCGCCAGACCAGATCCAAACGGAAAATAAAAAAATTGCAGAAAATCAAATGAGCTGGGCGAAGAGACAGAGAGGAGGAAGAAACAGATCACGGCCGCCGCTCGTCACCGCCGTTCATAGCCGCTGCTTGCTTCTATCCGTCTGCAGGTGCTTGCTCATTCTCGCCAGCTCTGTGTCGCGATACTTGCAACCAGTTTCGTTGTGTTGGTGTAATCGCACGATTAAAATTGATTGGAGGGTTAAAATTGGAATAAAGATCCTATTTAGGGAATAAAAGATACTTACTCCCATTTAAGAATTTAAGGATCATTTTAGTCCTACTCAGAGCAAAAAACTCTATTATAAATAAAAAATGAAGACTAGACCAGATCAGACCATACTAGATCAATTCAGACCAGACCAGTTCAAACTAGATCAGACCAGACTTGGATAGATATAAAATACACAAAGACCGGACATTTACCATATCAATTCATAGTATCATACCAGACTAGATCAAACAAGCTAGTTTCAATCCAAGTAAAAACATCTTTAAATGAAATGAAAAATAGGGATAAATGAAAGATGTTATATATGTATATGGTGAGTATGTGGTTTTGTTGATTACTAAGGATGTTTTCTTTTGGATTGTTTTCAGTCCCAGACCAGATCAGATCAGATCTGACCAGACCAGACTTCCGTAGTTATAAAATACACAGGGACCAGACGTTTACCAGAACAGACCAGACCAGCAAATTTCAGTCCAAAAGAAAACATCCTAACCATGTAGGTGGAACGACGAACAGAACCGCCCTCAGTTCCATAAGAAACTAAAGACAGAACCGTCCTTATTTCTATTTTGTATGAATGGGTGTCATACATGAATAATATGTGCCTGCATTATATTTGGTTGTTGACCATAGCATTTACGTATTGTATGCTTTGCTATATGTATCCTTCCATAAAAGTTATCCTTGATTAAATTATTAAGTGAATAGTTTGAATATGAAAGTTTGCTAGCATGGGCCGTTGCATGTTTATGATGATATATAGGTTTAATATTCTCTTGCTATACAGATTACAAAAGTAAATCTTGTTTAAAATATATTCCATATTTAATTAGGTGCATGCTTGATTGACTCATTCAAGTTATTGATACGAATAAGTAATTGGAAAGGTCTTTTCATTGCTTTTCTATTAGTGGATCATGACTTTTTGAATTTGATTTAAAAGGCTTCCTTATTAAAAATGATTTAGTTATGCTTAACATTATTATCTTACTTTATGGAAGCTATCAGAGATATTTTTACCATAGAATTTGAATTGTCTTCCTTGATCGAATCTATTTTTAAAAATGATCAATTTGATTGGGATGGAAATATTTTGCATAACCCATTGCACATTTATGGTAGGAGAACAAAATTATTTCCTTACTCCTTTACAATAATTAATGATCTAACAACATTATAATTATGAATATGAGTTAGTATCCTGATTTATGTCAATACACTTTGTGCATAAGATGTTGTACACTCATAGATAATACATTTGAAGGTTCCAATTAGGGAAATATTGCCACATGTCAATTCCACAATTATTGTTTTAAAATCATTTTTCTAATTAAAGGAAAGTCATGCACGCCTACTCTACCATACTCCGTATTTCATAAGGGGATTGAAGTTGTGTTATGTACAACTCCTATTATTTAGGACTCCATAAATAAAAATCTCATATTTTTTTAAACTGTTATAACTTTTTTATATGTACTCTATTTGAAATAAAAATTATACCAAAATTCATAACTTTTTATTATCTTTCAAATGACACCAATATTGAATATATACAAAAATAAAAATAATTTAACACTTTAATAACATCTATTTTTAGAAAATTATATAACTTTTTTATTTGTACTCCGGTCATTACAAAAATCATATTAAAATAATAACTTAGACATGTGATATACATACCATCATCTTTATATAAAAAATTATGATGACACCGTGATCATATAATTTTTCACAAATGTGATTTTATAGTTGTAAGTACATAATTTAAACTACACATAGCACTTACAAAGATGCAATTGAAATTATATTGAACCGGATGTGATATTATTTACAACTCAATTAAGACTTTCTTAGAAATCAAAAAAACATAAAGGAGCTAGCAATTAAGCATGGAGAAAGTAGAAGCTACATGTTTTGGACCCCCAATAAAAAAATGCTTGTGCGGTGTTCGAGATAAAATGATTTAGATTTTAGTTTTACTAATGAAAAATCACTTATTTAATGGATTATAAGATTGGTTTATAATGAATATTCATATTTATTGAGTACATCTTATTTTTTTAACTTGTTATATAAACATATTTTCGGTCTATATTTTTCAATGAAAATAGCAATTTTTATAACTCTCAGTTGCAACCCAAACAAAACAAAAATGCTAAATATCTATTTTTATCCATTAAATTTCATCAGTGACTTACTGTTTTTTTCAAAACTAACTACACATTTTTTGTTATTTATTTATCTAAAAAATGGGTGTAGTCATTTTATAGCCGATAGTAGACCTTCTAGGTTTTATAATTTTGCCAATTAGTCCTTCGACCTCTTTCTTTATGAAAAGAGTTTAGAATATATAATTTTGTGACATAACAATAAAAATATATATCCTTAATTAGAATGGTGAATATAAATTTGAGGTAGCATTTAGGAAAATGTGAACTTTTCAAATTTTAACACATGCACTCTAGCTATTTAAATTTTACCTACTTTAATTTTATCATGTTCCACTCTTTAACCAATTTTAGGAATGATTTGAAAGTAATTGGATAATTTGTAAACAGTTTTATTGAATTGATTTCGAATGCTTAAAATATTTCATT